GAAATACCTCTTGGTCTGCCTTTTAATGTTAAATCACCCATTTTGAACATTAAACATTTTTTTTTTCTTCTGTAAAGGGTATTCAGAAAGAGAGACCCCTAGTGTGTTAGATTAATCATATTATTTGACAGGGGAAAATTTTCTATTGTATTTTTCTCTCTTGTCCAATTTCATTCATACAATATCAATAATATGGAGAATTTGGAAGACCTACATTTCTGTTATTCTGTACGACAACAAATTGTCCTGAAACGCATTTAAATGACTCATATAATCCCATTTAAAATTTTCATAATCTTGTTTTTTGTTTTCTTTTTTTGTGTAACAGCCCCATAACTAAAGTGGTCAACCAGTACAAGGAGAGATAGTTTTAGACAAAATATAAATTACCTACCATTGTAAGAAAAAAAAAATCTGAAATGGTCTTTTATTATTTTCAAACATGTTTTTCAGTGAAGAAATAAACCTGCTGGTATTTTAGCATTGAGGGTTTAATTGTATAAATTAAAGTAGCTTTACTGTAGATAAGTGTCTCTCCAGTTACTAAAATCGACGAGATACAAAGCCCGAATTTAACAAAAGCATGAAGTAAATTCAGGCAATTGCTTTAAAGTGGAAACGAGCACCAAACTGCACTGGTATAACTTAATTGACTGTGTTTTACAGGTTGCTTGATGACAGGTAGAGAGTTTTAATGTTATATTGTTGTAACCTTTATCGCACTGCCCTCAGAGTTGGAGACACTTTGACTAAATAGGCCACAGTAACTAAGGTGGTTGAACTGCACTAAGGTTGTGGCTTTGCATTTCAAGTCACATGCGGCTTTAGCAGAAAGACTTTGTGTTTGAGAGCAACTAGTTTTTAAGACATTTAAGAAAAATCAATCAATAATACAGTTTATTTTAATGATCAGATTGCCCTCTACACTTAAGGCTATAATGTTAATACACTAATTCCACTTTAAGTGTTTCTCTTGAATAAGTTTTTATTTTGACGTATGGCAAAAATAAGAGCCCACCTTTGTGGCCTGTCTTTGCTCTCTGTTTCTGAATGATTACAACAGGTTTGTTAGGGCTGTGCATTCATAAAAAACGACAGCACTGCTAATTTAAATCATCTTGCATTCTGAGCAAATATGTATTTAGCTATACCTAGAAAAAACATCCTAGTTACTTTTCTTGCTGTGATGCCGATTTCCTTATTTAAAGGTAGTGTGCAATCTGGTTTCAAGAGTTTTTCAACTTGTCCACCTATGTGAGGCAAAGCCACAGCTTTTAAACAGGAAGAGGAGGTAAACTGCAGCTGCTTGTGTTGTTAGATCGAATCCATCTTCATTTTCTTTTAGTCATGTTTACAAATCCAAACCCTTTGAATAAACCCTTAAACAATGTAAGTTAATTAGATTGCTTTCTCTATATTAGGGAGTACATTGTTAAATAATCAGAATGACAGTAGTAATGGCTGAACTTACTAATTAGAAACACAATTAATTTAGGGCTTAAACTAATGATTATTTTGCCAATTGATTAACCTGTTGATTATTTTTTTGATTTATAATCGGGATAGCAAATGGGTCCTTAAAGAAGACTTTCTACAAATTTAAACCAGGTGAAACTAAAACTTTTCCACTTGAGGAGTTGACAGATGCATATTGGCATTTTTTAAATGCAAAATATTTATATATATATATATATATTTTTACAACCTTGGTAAAATTGCTGCTCAAAGGTGGGTTGCTCTGTCCGCTAAATGCACATTTTACAGCCTTTATACTCCAGTTAATCCAATTAATTGTTTCAGCCCTAGATTAATTACCAAATTGAATTTGATTTAGAAAAAAATGTGGATAATATCACTTAAACAAGATTTTAAGATATTTATAAGGTTATATGTGTTTTTTTGTTGTTATTTTGTGCAAATTAAAACCTTTTATTTCTATTTTTAATGCTTCAATGCACCATTAAAATGCAAGAAAGAAAGGAGGTAATATGACCATATCATTCACTTTTTGCACATATATAAATCTCTATTTTAAAAGCCATTTTTAGACATGTTCCCAGAGGCTGTTATAAGACCTTTAATGTGTGCCACAGACACTTGTGCACCAACCACCATCATACTGACACACATAGTGTGACAGATGGGTATCAGTTAGAGGTAGCATGACCATTTCCTGGAGAGGCTGCATGTCTCTGTGTCGGGGTTTCTTTAGTCACGTTTATGATTTGCGTTTTAATTCACTAACCCAAGGAAAATAATGTAGCTCACGTCTTTTTTTTTTTTATTTTGCAAATTTTCACAACATAGCATAATAGGCAACTTCCCACATTGGTAGCTTTATCTCATTGGGAACAGCTATTAAATGAATTTTTTAATAAATTGGAAAATCAGCATATTGTTCTCAAAGCCGTTTCCTACATCTGAGGGACTTTTAATGTGGCATGGTCTTTGGTGGAATTGTCTGAACATTTGTTGGTTTAACACTGTAGACTGTTATCTGGATATTTTTACACCTATTTCCATCAGATATTTGAAGGGTTAACCTCCAAATAAACATATAAATCACTTTCGTCAGAGGAACTGCGATAAAGTAAGAAATGAAGTAAATAATTGTAATTTTAGCTTTTTTTTCTCCAACTGATGAATCAAGTAAAACTAAACATCAATATACAGGTCATTCTGGCTGAATGACCTGAAAAACGTACTAAACAGTGACTGATATAATTACCAAACTTAAATATGTGTTGTCACACACCTTTGTTTCTAGCTGAAATGTTATATAACTTCTCATCCAACCATCACTGGACAGCACGTCGCAAGAGTCTCATCTTGGTCGATAACCATGTTTCTAATAAGACGCTGCACTAAAACTTCACTTTTTTTTTTAGACATTGACTTCAAAAATTTTCAAATTATCCTAGTCCTTAAATTGCATTTACAATTTCATTGATTTCTAGACACGAAGTCCAGATTTCTTAACCCTTTGTTTTCCTCTGTGCTGTGTTTCACAGAGGTGCCAACTTCGTATACTTTTAAAAAACCACAACCCCATTTTAAATAAAGTTGCCACACCGACCAAACTGTGAATGAGAAGTTTGCAACAGAAAACTGGAGTTTTGACTGAGGGAGATTTGACTTAATTAAAACTACTCAATCATATTTTCAGTAGCAGGAATCAATCAATCAATATTAATTTAAAATCTATTAAAAAACAGTAAGAACACTTTTTTCTGTTCAGGCAGCTTTCTTGTTATATATGTCAGTGAAGGAGTGTGTATTTCCTCCATTAAGGCATAAGTATAGGTAATCAAAGTTAGTTTTATATTAATAATCACTTACATTTACTTACCCTACAAAATTAAGAAGCAGTGTTTTAGAATAAGAAATAAATGTAAAAGATATTTGATCAGATGAAAACCTTAACTTTTAAATAACCTTTTCACTGTTTGCACCATATATATTTGTCTTTGCACTGCTCTGAACTTCCATATCAATGTATTTTGCACCATGCTTTTCTCCCACAATGTTTACTGCTGCACTTTAAAGGTGTTTACAGCACAAGTATGAACTATAATAACTACTGTAATTAATTATGAGAGGATTGTGAAAGAAAAAAAGGAGATATACAATATTTAGACCATTTTGGGAGGCTGGTTAGTCCCTTATCTCCTTATCAGAAGAGGCAAAATTCTTTGCCTCCTGTATGGATCTGATTGTATTTCCTCTCATTGCAGCTCTTTTGTCCCATATTTCACTCCTATGTATTATTTCAGCTTGGATTTAATCCCTATACATAGTTGTTCTTTGGCACGGCGGTTGCTCCTGCGCCTGAAAGCCTTATGACTTGACTTAGGTTTGACAGTCATAAAAAAAGAAAAAACTATTAATATCTTATTAATATCTAATATGTACTCAGGAGTGAAAGCAAGCAAGTATGGAAGTTACAGACGGCAGCAGTTCTCATAGAACACTTGCTGCTAAGATATCTGAATAAAACAATATTTGTTTTTCCTTTTAAAATGTAACTTTATCTCACATTTCCTCATCACACGCCAGGTCTCTCATTATGCTGAGATTTATAGTGTACATCGAAATATCTGCTTTCCAAAAATGATTAAAAGGAAATATACACCTGAATTTATTTACTGTGGAACAGTAAAGGGTGTTTCTATTCTATTCTTTTCTATTCTATTCTATTATATTATATTTCATTCTATTTTATTTCACTCTATTCTATTCGATTCTATTTTATTGTATTTCATTATGTTCTCTTGTATTTCATTCTATTCTATTATATTCTATTTCATTCTATTCTATTTCATTCTATTCTATTCTATTGCATTCTATTCTATTATATTTCCCTCTATTCTATTCTATTCTATTCTATTCTATTCTATTCTATTCTATTCTATTCTATTTCATTCTATTCTATTTTATTCTATTCTACTTCATTCTATTCTATTCTACGAACCAGTTTAAATCTCTGTCTAGTTTTTTTTCTAAGTGAAATACCTATTTCTGTTTATAATGGAAAGAAAATGTGGACTTTTTTAACTTTCGAGAAAATAAAAACTGGAATGCAGCTGTTTCTTACATGCTAAGGCAAATTGACAGTATTTAAATATAGTTGTAAGTCATTATTTAGTTGTATTTTTGTATATTTAGTATATAATTAAACTCCTGAACTACAACATTTAGTGATGGAATGCATTTGATTAGAAACAATTCTTTTAAACTCAGCTTGAGACATGACTCAAACTTTGGGTAAAAGACTTTAGACCTGAATTGGACTTACTGAAATTAGTTGCAACACCTTTTGGTAAAAGAGATTAAAGGCTTTTTAATCATCTTAGTATTTATTTCTTTGAGTTTAAGTTGATTAAAGTGGAACAAATATTTTGTATTATTTGCAGAAACTTTTGCAAATAAATTTGTATTGTATTGTGTTCTCTAAATGTAAGATATGATAAACAAATGAACATATCATTTTCTATCAACAGGTCATGGACACTCTGTCAAAGCTTTCTTATACAGCAGTGGCTCAGCAAGGAGGATTCAAGTAAGTTTTATATATATATATATATATATATATATATATATATATATATATATATATATATATATATATATATATATATATATTTATGTCAGTATTCAAAAGACCTTCTACTTGCACATCTATTTTATTTCCATTCGCTGCCACCTCCACCTCCTCCTTCCCTCCTTACGGAAACTGCAGTGAAATTTACAGCCTGGAGTTACCCATAAATTTCCATTTCGATTCAATATAAGAACTGAAAAAAAAGAATAAAAATATTATTCTAAATAACCAACTTGTTTATTTAACATTTCCTGAGGAGTAAGCAATACAAAAAAAACCCTAACTGCTTTGTTTTCCTCCAGAAAGGTAGAAAAAAACTAAGAGCCAGACAGACCATTAATCAGACCATAAAAACCTATTTATGTTGATTTAAATTTTTACAAATTCATCTCTGTTCAGATTTTATGAAAGCATATATGTTTTGCTAAAGCTTAAATACATTTATAGGTAAAAAAACGCCACTTTTCGACCCTCAATAGATGAGTAAAGTCCTGCTGCTTTTACCTTCCTTCCAGGCCATTTCCAATGGAGGAGAGCCTGAAAGACGAGGAGATTTACAACAACCTCCAGGACTTGATTGAGTGAGTGTAAAGGCTCCTCTCTGTAAGCCCGTTAGCTGTTGATAGAGTGTTTATTTTATTTAGATGCATGGGCAGTTTGACTTTCTCACCATCTTTTTTTGTTAGACGCCAAGGCTGAAGCCTTGGTGGAGTTTCCCTCTTACTGTCAGAGAAATCAAATTAGTAATTTGTCATGTTTTTGCTAAAATTCTTCTGTACAAACCATATTAAGATTCTAGTTGGGAGCTTTTTGCAGAGTGTATTTATATTTTTTTTCCTGCCACATCAGTGTTACAGATCAGTATGTATGAATCCTGAGCTGTCCTGTTAAAGGGTTAAAGATTATTCCTTCATACCTGCATGCTGGTATGATATGAAGTTATGATAAACAGCTGAGCTTTAGAAAAATAAACTTTTTGCTATATTTACAAATATAGCAATTTTTTAATTTTATTCACACAGCTTATATAAGTACAAGGTACCCTACTTGTGATAGATGTTTTGCATGATCAGACCTGTTAATGTTTGTGCATGCATGTGTGTATGTGATAGCGAGAATGTTCCTGAGGATGAAGACGACTTGTATGCAGCGGTATACGGGCTAGAAGACGAGTATGCTGGTGGCGAGATCTATGAAGACCTTATGAAGACTGAGCAGCATGCACCATTGGTACAGCAATGAGTCAGACAAACACACACATGCACCCACACATGAGCACTGGTATGAAAACTTCATATTGGGTTTATCACTAGTGTACATCAACATCAGAGTAACTTTAAACACTGACAGCTCTAAAGTGCTTATTTGTTATTTAACTTCCACGTAGGGAATGTGTTGATTATTTTTTTTGCAGATGTGAAAAGAAAGTACATTCTAACAGGTAAAGTGTTTTACCACTGTTACTGAGTGGGCTTTTTCTGTTGTTTCTTTTTATTTTTTTTTGTTAACCAGAAATCAACTTCCTGGAAGCTTTTCATCTACTGACACTGTGTTTTGTGTGCTTTTTCATTGTGAATCCGAAACCAGGGCCATTTACGTAGATTATGTCCCCTGACACTCAGCAGGTCTTCCTCTTGCAGAAGTGCCACTTCAACGAAGGGACACTACAAAAGAGGCATCCATGATGCTATTAAAAAATAAAATCTGATTATTAAAGCATTCATGACAGGTCCCTTCATAGTGATTATTGTTTAAAAGCCACAGGCTGCCACTAGGTGGAAATGTGTTGATTTTAAAGTGAAGAGTAAAAAATTGGGATCTCAAATAGATATTACAACTTGCTATCTTGCTACGACATCAGTTATTAAAACTTGTGAGATTTGATTCATAGGAACAGAAAGTGCATTCAAACCCCCACCCCACAACACAGACAGACACACATATCAATGGCAATCCCTATGGAAACTTTGCTCTGTTTTTCCATTCATTTGCATAGCCTAACCAAGATCCTAACCATTACCAATACATCCCTCACTCTATCCTAACCTCAATCCATACCTTAACCCCAAACATAACCCCTAACCTAAAAAAATTACTTTTCCTCATCTAAACCAGTCTTTAGTCCTCACAAAGTAGGACAATCATTGGAATTTGGCAGCAAACTGTCCACACAAAGTAGCACATTTGTGTGCGGGTGCACGCAGACACACACAAACCCAGCATTACCGCAGCAACACTTGTATCTAAACTTAAAATACACAAATTATCAATACCATATATTTTCTGAAGGCGTTACGGTAGTTACTATATTAATGCTTATATCTCTACCTCTATATTTCCATAGAAAGACCATTTTTATTCATGGAGCTATTTGAACTAACATTGCAGGATTCTATCAATGTATTTCAAGGCTAAGAGGTAGCATAGTGCTTAGAACGGGGGCACTTGTGTCTGATACATGCACTATATTGTCCAAAGTGTATGTCTGTCTGTATGTACATGAAGTTCGATGCCATCCTGCTCTTAATCTACAGGGTTCAGTTTGTTGATGGACTCTTTTCTCACAGTAGCAGCTTTTAACTATTCTGTAAATGTCTTCCAAAAGTCTAAGGGGAGAACTGCATTCTTCCCACTAATTCATCCCTAAAAAGTTCTTTAGAGTTTAGGTCAGAACTCTGTGCAGACCTGTCAAGTTTTTCCTTACCAAACTGTATTCTTATGCAGCCATGGAAGGGGATTCAAATTCCCTGATATGACTAATCCGATACGTTTGGCTATATATATTCTACTCGATTATCCATTGCCTTCTTGTTTTAGGATCCAAAAGTGATAAAGTTTGTTTGTTATGTATCAAAATGTAAAGACCACCAGAATTCGTTTGTGTGATAAATGTTGATTTAATTGTTTAATCACTTGCAAACTGTTTGGAGTTTTTTTCCCCTCTATATACCCAATAGAAAGTTACATTTCTCTATCACTTGGTGTCATTCAAACAGCGTTTTCTCTTGTGTGTCTTTCTAGAAACAGGCGGAAGTTGATGTTCGTAGCTGCTGTCTTTCAGAGATTAAACAGACAGAAGAGAGATACACAGAGACTCTGGAGTCCATCGAGAAGGTGCTGCACCAACGTATTTATTAAGTTACTTAATAATATCACACATTGAAACAATCACATTATTATTTTTTAATTGTTATGATAATTCTTCATGTCACACTGTCACACTATCGTCAGTCATTAAATGATTAATCTATGTGGTTTTAATTTAAGTATATAATTATTTTGAATTATAAGCAAAAAATGTGAAGCATGGCAAAATAAAATTTTAGTGATGGTTTTATGAAATTTCTTTTTTAGTACTTCCTGAATCCATTAAAGAAATTCTTCTCTGAGGCCGAAATTGACAAAGTTTTTGTCAACATTCCTGTAAGTCAAATTATATATATATATTTTTTTTTACCTCTTAACCAAATAATATGAAAACAATACCCCCTTTTTTAAATGCTCATTGCTTTTTTTCTCCAATGCAGGATTTGGTAAAAGTTCACAAAAGCCTCATGGCCGAACTGCAAGACTCCATCCTCAACAAAAACGCCCTTAATCTCTACCAAATCTTTATCAGCTATAAGGACAGGTACTAAACAAGTCTGACACAAAGATAAAAAAAAAAAATTGGTTTGATTATTAGTTCTTTAGTGGGTGTTAAATGAAGATTCTTAAAAATTCTGAACTGTAGTGATGTGTCCGGTTATACCTCTCACATTCATTAACCACAAAGTTCAGTGAGTTTTACTTAAGGTTTATGTGATGATAAAATTAGAAAAGTGTGACATGGGTTTTTGCTTAAGTTCACCTATCATCGCACCCTACATCTCTTTTTGAAACCACTCTGCATCACTTCTGCCTTATATCTCACTCATCTAGGCATATCTGCAAGCAAGAAATTGCTGTTATTTCTTCAGAACTCAAGTTCAGCCATACCAGGTTGAGCGTATTTATGAATAGTTAATAAGGCCTTTCTGTGTCATAAATCTGTTAGATTTGTATAGATTTTTAAAATAGCTTTTATGTATTTCATCATGGCCTTTGCTATATGTTTAGAGTTGCATTACTCAACAAAAAACTCTGCTTCATGTTTAAGTTCTGGAACCTTCTATGATCTAACCCCGGAGATTCCTAGAACTGAAACCTAGAATATTTTCCAGACACTTAAGTGCCATCCTTTAAAAGTAACCATAGGCCTTCTTGCTGCTTTTTCAATTTATGCTCCTTTTTGCTTACCTGTAAGTTTGTTTTGGTATATTTTCAGTGAAATTTTACTCTTTTAACTCAGATGTTTAGCCTTACTCATGGTCCTCTGTTTGCATACTATTGTTCCCTTAAAGAAAAATCTCTGAGGCGTTCACGTAACAGCTCAAAAGAGGTTGAATCACACAAGGATTTAGTTGATTTACTAATTAGAAACCCCTTAAAAAACGAAATTTGTTGCATCGTAATTTATTTAGTAGTAACAGCGTAAAAATTACTGACTTATTTATAAAAACACTTTAAGGCCAATTATCAATGTATTTTAAAGGTAATCCATATAAACTATCCCACTATTTATTTCATTGTTTGTAATTATAGTATGAAATAAAGACAATTTACTGTAAAAGTAGGATTTCTGTGTCAAAGCACATAGATCTCTGGTGGTTTTCAGGAAGTTTTGGATGCTTTACAATAGTGTCTTTAGTAAATCATCCTTTCTTTCTGATTTTATAGACTTCTCATATATGGGATATACTGCAGTCGGGTGGAGATCGCCATCGCTGTCTTAGACCTTATCTGCAAAGAGAAAGAGGATGTTCGCCTGAAACTAGAGGTGATTTTACTTTTGAAGACCAGTTTTATGAAACTCCTTATGCTCCATGTACTGTACACTAAGCACCATTTATTAACCTGTACTGCCCCCTGATGTGTATTTTCTGCATTACACATACACTGGCTTTTTTTGTTTATCAGGAGGAACAAATCTGAAAAAAAAGATAAACCCTGTTTAGTCTTGTAAAATGAAATTACTCCTGAAAAGAACAGACTTACAAACGTAAACATATACAGCATCTGTCACTGTGCAGCTTGGGCTAAACCAATGTAAATGTTTGTTTTGTGTAATTTTGTAGGAATGCTCCAAAAGGGCCAACAATGGGAAGTTCACCCTGAGGGACCTGTTGGTTGTTCCAATGCAAAGAGTTCTGAAGTACCATCTATTGCTACAGGTAGGCCGGTCTAAAGCACTGATTTGAAGAATTATTAATATAAAAATGGCTGATTTTAAATTTTAAGTATTATTGTGGCCATATTTTTTCAGCTGTTTGGTGTTATACACTTCATTCTCACTATATGCTTTTCCCATTTCAGGTTACTACTTTGTTAACACATTAAGTTACAGCTCAACACTTTGAACTAGAATGACCCCCAACAATAGATCTGTTTTAATCTTAAATGGTGGAATACAAACATTTTATTCTGTATCTTTCTTGCTGTTGATATAACAGTCTGAATTTTGGGTTAAATCAGTGTTTTGTAAAAAAAACAAAACAAAACCTTTGCTCTATGAAACTGTTGACTATGCTTGAAGTCACCAGTACCGGTAAGTAAATATCTATTTCAGAACTGCTAGTAAATGTTTTCTAAATATTATCAATTGCCACTGAATAAATTTTATTGTAATCTAATTTAATTTAAACAAAAAACGGTAGTGTTTCAATTCTCGCTATTTGCACTTGGCTGAAGTTATAAAAGTTTTGTCAAGTTTATTTCAGGTGGTAAAATACTTTTGTTTAAGCATCTAAATAAGCACTAGAGGGCGACATCCTCCACTGTAATTTTCCATTTTGCCATATGACGAAAAATAGTATTTCATAATTACTTTACCATTGAATTGTGATCTTGCAGACCAAAGTTTTGTTATTTCCCTAAAACTTTAACATCGAAAAAAAAAGATTTAAGGGAAAAAGTTCCTGTTATATGACCTAACTGAAAATTATTATACATACATTTCTAAATGATATAATCTATGTTGAAATTTGAGAAACTCCTATTGCGCTCACTTATAAAAATTGAAGATGTTTTTTGTGTATTCTCTCTCCAATGCTCATATTCTCTCCACTATTTGACACCATCTCCTCTGGTTTATATAAATCTAAGGTCAGATTACAGATGGCGGAACAGAAAAGGGCAATACCTAAAGAAAGGTTTTAAATCTTTGTGGAGGGTAAAGGCTTTCATGGTAAATGACGTTGATGCAGAGAGTTTATAGCCATTGCTTTGGGAGAAAATGTGTGATGCTGAGGATGAGGAAAATAAAGGCTAACGACAAAAAGCAAGGCGATATGCTTTTTATATTTGTTCATTACATGTAACAATATTAGAAGAGTTGGCTCTCCTTAAATCAGACCTTAAATTATTCTTACCCCCCTTTAATATTTTTATGTATAATAGACCTACAGAGTATATAATAGTGAAAAATGATATATTATCATGATTATTTTCTGTTATAAATAAATAATCACTGTAAACACAATATTGATAGCTTGTGTGATTAACAGGCAGCATATGCCACTTTAGAAATAACAACTTGGCCTCAATATAAGGCAATACTGTGTTGGAAGGTTCGTGTGGAAACAAGCTTCTTCCATTATACTTGGTTTGCATGACAACTGTCATGTGCTAATTAAAGAAAATGGAAATAATTGGCTGTGATGCCACATTAATAGTCACATACCCACTGTGAACCTTCCATTGTATCCAACTATAGGTGGAATATTCTATTATGCTTTCAAAAGGTGGCAGCATTTCATGTAGCAAAAATAAATCTCTATTTCATATTTTTTAGGCCTATGTAACTTTTTCTTACATTCATGGCAAGCTAGGAAACAGTGTGTCACAGCTTTAAGTTTTCTAGGTTTTGAAAACTGAGCCTCCACAGAGTGTAGGGAGGTAAGCCAAACCTTGCAGGAACTTTTCTTTGAAAAAAAAAAAAAACATGATGCAAAGAAAAACACAATTCATGCAACAAAATCTTTTAAAAGAGTGATTATACCTTTTTCTCACAAGGGCTTGGAGCAGTGGCAGCTCCATAGACATATCCTTACGTAGACATATCTCTGCAGGAGCTAAAGATGGGCTAAGCATAGAACTGAGGATGCAATGAAGTATTCTTTACGCACACGGATGTAAACAAAAGCAAGAGTGTACTCGGTACTCTTAAATCTGCAAAAGTTAACAATAAGGTATATCATGAACATATTGTGTGTAGTATAGTATATAAACTATTAAAATACATTCACTGTGTTTTGTTTCCCCAGACCTGTGAAAACAAACACAGTGAATTCATTGTGAATCCATCAGCAACATCTGGTGAATTAAATAATAATAAGTGTAGAATTACTTTAAATAATTAGTGAAATTACATGTTCTGAATAATTAAATTTACAGTAATTCACAGAAATTGACAGTTTAGTTTAGTTTATTTTCACGAGAGTGAAATACACAATAATAGTTTGTTTTAATAGTACGAATATGAAATAAGGTTACCAAAAGCTGTCAAGGGGCTTAAAAAGTGTTACTCTCCATATAAATGTGTAAATCTTGTGCAGCTACATAATTAGATATAAAAACACAAATATGACCATTTAGGACTTATATTTATTATGGAAAGCTCTCCGCAACAGTTGAATTTCCCCCCACATGATATTTTAAAGTTAAATCAAAGTTTAGAACGCATTGAATTTTATTAAAAAAATAGAAATACTTTGAAATTACAGGAGTGGAAATCATATATGAAATAATGCAAAAAATTGTATAAAACACATTTTCATAAATTTTAACTATTTTCTATTTTCAAAGAACAGTAATTTGGATTGCACAGTTGCACCACATATTTTGACAATCTCAATTATTGAAATAAATTACAAAATAATAAATGCTTTCTTAAAAAAATTCTCAGTGATTGCAACTATAAAGGAGGTACTACTGATATATACTTTTATAAATTTAAATGTTGTTTTTTTTTTAAAACTGCTTATGTTTTGTGAGGAAAGAATTACAATAACCACATGTTTCAGAATATTAACTGATAAAGATTATTAATCTAACCCTTGTTGAGGATGCTATGGGGGGCTGAATTTTACAGGGCTAGCTTTAACCCCTCCTGGCGTCGCCACCAGCTGCAAACATGCCCTTCTGAAGTTGAGATGTCATGACAGACCGGTCAGCCAATCAGACGCGAACTGTGAGAGAGACTCCGCAGAATTATTTTAGAGATGGATTTTCTTATAAAAGACTTTAATGCGTTTTGATCTTCCTTAGATAACTCCTTTTGGAGCAAAAAAACAGAATTCATACTCATACTTTAAGACTTCCCCTGTGTGGATGAGAAGTTTATTTCTTTATACTAGTTTAAAAAAGCACATTTTGAGGCGAGTTAAAGAGGTAAAATGTCTGATAAAATGTCTTTAATGTTTGGCCATAAAACCAAATTAATATTATTATGAACTTCTGTTTTATGATGACAGCTTCCATCAAACATTTGCACACAACTAGTGTAGCAAAAATATAATAATTTTATTTTTTCTCTACCGATATATACTATTTTAATAAGAAAAAGAAGAACAAGTTAAATGTCCAATGATAATTTAATCACTTCTTTTTCCCATGAAAAAACGGATTTAAAATAGCCCTGAACTGTAGATGTGTCTGCAGACAATATTATTAGTCGTGTTTAAATAAACTTAAGCTCAGTGTTATGAAATAATCAATCAGTGCTGATTAACTTGCAATGTAAAGTAATAAACATGAAAACTTTTTTTATTGAACTGGACTAAATCAGATAATCTGTTATTAAAACACAAAATTAGGTGCATTCATTCTACAGTAGAGAAACTACTGCCTGAAATGAGTAAGCCTTCACTGTTCTGTGTACAGCTACCTTAACTTACTACCTTAAGTGCTCTGAAATCAGTTACCGTAATTCATAAGAGCCAAGTCTTTCGAAAGAAAATCAGGACCCTGGAAGGATTTTAAATGTATTTGCTCCTGTAATTGCATTCATCTGGAAAAGGTTCAGCTAAGAGATGTTGGTTATCATTTCTTTCTCTGTCAGGAACTTGTGAAACACACTCATGATGCTGCAGATAAGACCAACCTGAAAATTGCTCTGGATGCCATGAAGGCAAGTGTCTGTTTTGAACGGTTTATAATCACAGATATGAAACAGGTTCTTATTTTGTCAAGTATTTTGTTGCACTAGAATCTTATCAGACACTTGTTTTTTAAGTCATGCAATTCAACACATTTAACTCAGACAAGTTATTTCTATATTTACATGATCAGTTGTGTTAACCTGTGGCAGTTGCTAGACATTGATTCAGTGAAATGTTGTTTTTTGTGTGTGTGTTCCCCACAGGATCTTGCTATGTATGTCAATGAAGTCAAGAGAGATAATGAGACTCTGCGGGAGATTGACCAGTATCAGAGATCTATTGAAAACCTGGTAAACTAAAGAAACTTTTAATGGAACTGTCACTTGATATTTTGTATTGTTTTGTGTGGGATTTTTCTTTGATAGTCTAAACCAGGCACCCCCAAAGTGGGACCTCGAGGGCCGCTGTCCTGCAGGTTTTAGAGGTTTCCCTGCTCCAGCACAGATGATTTACATTGATAGTTGATTAACAGGCTTTTGCTGAACTGCAATCATCAGAATCAGCTGTGCTAAAGCAGAGAAACCTCTAAAACCTGCAGGACAGCGGCCCTCGAGGACCGACTTTTGGGATGCCTGGTCCAAACTCAAATACCTGTATAAATGTTTATGACCTTTCCATACTTAACTCTGAAGCAACAGGTAACCCAGTTTTTTTATTACCATTATCTGGTGATTTAAGCTTTTTGATTTTGGTTCTTTTTCAAAATTATCTTAAAAATGTACATTTATAAGCTAAAACAACAGATTTTAGTGCAGTTAGCTTTTCTAAGATTGTGATGCATCTGTAATTTTTGGAATTTACGGGAAAGTATTGGTAGATGCAGGTTTATATTGCCTAAATGTTGAGATTTTAGGCATATAGAGTTCTCAAGAGAAATCAGTATCAGCTTTATTAGTTTTACAAATTAGTGCTTTAAAAAGACCACAAAATGTCTGATCAAGGTATTTCTGGGATAATCTTAATATGGTTTCTTATTTTCAGCAACAAAAGCCACTCCAACAGTTACAGTACTTGATAATAATTGAACATCATTGATCTCACAATGGAGGAATTCACTTCAGCATTTCACCCATCCCCTTGGGGAGCTGAGGGCTGCCACTGTGGCGCCCTGGGAGCAGTGTAGGGTTAAGGGACTTGCTCAGAGACCCAGAGTGAAGGCTGTGGGGATCGAACTGGGTACTTGCAACCTTCTCAGAGCACAAGCACACTGCTCTAACCACTAGGCCAACACTCCCCATAAAATGTAAAATAAAAATACTCATAATATAGTAAAAAAGTTGACCAAAATACAGACTTTTTGATCCTCATCAGTCATAAAATAAACTCAATAAGTATTGTATGTGTAGAGACAGAGCCAGTGATCAAAAAGCATTTAATATCAGCTGCAGACACTTTCCCACCATGATGAAATAATATACATCCATAAATCATACATAGTTAGGGCATAGAACATATCCCATAGACCAAAAAACATCAAACTTAACCCTTTTCTACATATAGTATACTAAAAAAGATCTGGTATCATTTGTGGTGTAGCCAGCAATGTCTGTGTGCAAGCATTTCAAACATTATTTATGGATTACGGAGTTTTAGATGATGCGTGCAAAGGAAAGACCCCTCAGTAATGGTAAGGCAATATAGTAATGGTGTAGAGGATCTTCGCCTACTGGTGCATTTCTGAATGTAACTTTTGGCTACAGGTAAAACATTCTTTACACAAATCTTCAGTGTGTCCCAAAAAGTGTATCAACGCCAACAGACCAGGCATAGTCACACATCATTATGTATATATCATTATGCTTGAATGTTAAAGAGCCACTGATTAGACATTCTTCTGGCAAATAGCAGATATGGATTTCTCTGTGTCTGACATTTATATTATAATATTAACTGATTCCAGTTTTGTATTCTAAGACAGATTCACAGAAAAGTCAACAGTAAAGTGAGCAGCTGTAAGAATATAGTAATTCAAGTGTCAAAGTATATTCCCAAAATACATCAGTGCCTAACTCCTGTGTATTTTTCTTGCAGAATCAGCCACTCGTGAGTTTTGGTCGACCAAAAGGAGACGGGGAGGTGCGCTTAATCTCCACTGTTGACAAGAGGAAACAGGACAGGTTAGTCTGTTTCAGCATTGCTGTCCTGCAGCGTGAAGCAAATTCTTAGACAGTTTAATTGCTTTTTAAAATTTTGATGAGTGAATAAGATTAAGGAACAGCTAATTATTAGTAAAATAAGGGATATTTTTTATAGTATAGGATAAAGATAGAAAAATGTAATACTGTTTTTTTGTTTTATAGGCATTTATTTTTATTCGATGTAGCAGCCATTATTTGCAAGCGAAGGGGAGACAACTATGAGATGAAGGATATACTGGATCTTAACTACTTCAAAGTCACAAACAATCCCACATCTGACAGAGAAGGCAAAAAGGTCAGTGGAATGGAAAAGGAAGCTCACCCCACAATTGTTCTTGCATTGCAAAATTGAGCTTCAGCTTTTGAAGTTCCGTATTCATAGAGGCTTTAAAGTGATTACATTTGCCTTGCTGCACATTAAAGAAGAGAAAATACTTCTTCTTCCTGACCTTATACCTCCCCATATATATATATATATATATATATATATATATATATATATATATATATATATATATATATATATATATATATATATATATATATATATATATATATATATATATATATATTTGACATGTTTCCCTGCTTAAATACACCTGACTTAGATGATTGAAGGTCAGCAAAAGTTTGTAATTCAGCCATCAATGGAAATCAGCGCTTAAACAGGGAAATCCTTGTTTTTAGTTTGATAAAAAGGTTTGCTGCTTGTTTTTTTTTAAATTGATGGATTAACAATAATCAGTGGGACATTCAAAGTTTGGATGATTTATTTGAACCCCCTCCTATGCACTTGACAGTTCTTAACTGTTTTATCTCTGAGCTGTGTGATCCTTGGGCTTCATGATGAACGAATGTGTTCTCCTTCTAACCTCTGAGAAACAGCTTAGATTTAACAATTTTAATATTAAATACACTATTTGACTCTGTTTACTAATGGGATATTTTAGAAGGCAATTGGTTGCACTTGATTTGGTTTGGGGGCGTAGTGCATAGGGGATTGTACCGTTTTTGTAAATGGAAAATAAATACTAAGTATAATTTTCCCTCCACTATAAATGTTTGTCTTATTACATCAAATCTCAAAAATAAAGATAGAAGGTTGTAACTATATTGGGACTAACTGTAAAAAAAAGCTGAAAGAGTTGCATAACAGCACTCATGGGTTTTAGCCAAATTTCCTTTTTTGCCTTGTGGAAACATTCACGGGCCATATTGTAGTGTCAGAGACTTGCTGATGTTGTGTTGATAGATGCCCACAGATGGTGTCTTCTCACTCTGCTGCTGATTGCTAACATGAAAGCGACAGCTTGCCAAAATATGATGTGCTTTTCATGAACGGCAGCCTATTATCATCATCATTTACTCCAATGAGCCATTGTGAGATGTGAGTTGGTGTGTGGTTTGTTCAGTACAGTGATTGGTATTTAACATGTCATGGCTTTGATGTGCTTTTCAGGATAATTTCATTCTTGTGTGTATTTTTTATTTGCCAATATTTTGAAATTAAACATAAGTGTAGTTTTACTCTATGCCCCTTTTCACCATGTAGCAGTGTGCATTCTATACATCCTTTTAATTGCACAAAGGAACACTAAAGCACATGTAGAGTTGTTTGGGTGTAATTTTAACCAATACCTGGAAGCTTACGGCGTGATGTGTGTTTACTCCTCCACGGCTGCTTAATTGTATGCGTCAGCTTTTTGTTAAATAAAACTTTAACTCTTAAGTGGGATTCTAGAGAGCATCAGACATTCATCTATGATTTAAGACCCTGCAGAGCTCTAAAAGACTTAGGACATTGCAGGTCAGCTTAATGACTGTTGGGCAAACTCTACTACTTTTTTCATTACTGGATATTACACAACCAGCTGAAGCAGATCACTGAGAAAAGCAAGGACATTGAAATAAAAATAGATAAGTCTGATGTGCTACAGTGGAACTTCTGAGAGGTCAATAAATTAAAGAAAATATTTCTTTCCTGAAATTGTTTTATGCCCCAATTTATCTTAGTAGCTATAACTCTTGTATCACTGGAAGATAATATACTTGCAGATAATCATTATGAGTGTATACTTTTAGAAGGAATTTGTTTTTTTTTTAAAGCTGTGAACCCCTTCAGTGCTCTCTAAGCTAAGCTCTGGTTAAACTCATATTATAGTTGCAGCTGTCTTGATGTTGAACAAATTCAGCTGCTAACGCATTTCCCCTGTGCTGCCAGTGACCCAACTGCCTGTAACACCAGAGAGGATTGCTGACAGCTTTATGTCAGGAACCTGCCACTTACTTGCCCTTTATGCCTACCTTGTCGTTATTAGAACTGTATGCCTGGCATGGTTATAACTTTAAGGGTGGCCTAGATTGATTCATATTTATTGAGATTCCTGAATATTTTATCAATGTATTTATTATTAATCCTTCTCTTTGGAGCAATGTGAATAATTATATTTCTATTTAGCTGAAAAATCAAGAAACTGAATAGCTGTCTGCTACAATACATTTTACCGAACAGTAACTGTAAAAAGAGCTATAACCTTTTGCTAAACACGGTTATACATCATTTGCAAAATATATATTTTTTAAATTATACATCACTTTCCTTCTGCATTAAAATGAGGTTATACACTATTTTGTGCTGCTCTTTCATAAACCAAAAAAAAAAGAGTTGCAGTTTATAGCTGTCACATATCAACGTGTGAAAAAGTTTCATTTAGGGGTTATGCATACATCTGCAGGTTACTGTAAGTTGTCTATATAATGTGATCTTTACTTTTTTGAGGCTTTATTTTGCACCAAAAATTGCTTTTTTATTTTCTTTTGTTTTTGACTACAACTCAAATGAAAGAAATAACTAATACACATTAATCATTTTGTCAACATTGGCAAAAATGTTGAATTTTATTTATTTTTATTTTTTTAAAGCAAAAGCCCTCACATAAAAGAGGGTTATTGCCTGCAAATGCTTTTGGAGTTTCTGACTGGCTTTTTCAGCTCGACGTTCTCATCACCAGACAATTTATCTCCCAGCTTAAAATGTTTTGTTAAAAATAATTGGACTATTTCAATTTTCATTTCTCTTCAGTTAGGGCCTGTCACAGCTGCATCTAGACTTGCACCTGTTCTCTGGGATTTGAAAATTAGTTGAAAATTAGAACCTACAATAATACCATATCAACTTGCTGTGTGAGACAAATGAAACATGGAAGGGACACCATTACCTAGATCATACACAAGTAGCTTAAGAGGATTTTACTTCTGTTTTCTATTCTTCTTTCATATCTACAGTGGTGCTACGGCTTCTTCGTCACACATCAGCAGGGCCATACAGGCTTCGAGTTCTTCTTTAAGACCAGAGAGCTGAAGAAGAAGTGGTTGGATCAGTTTGAAATGGCAATGTAAGTAGACAAAGGCCAAACATTATAAGAGGTAATATCTAAGGAGGAAATTTGTTCTTTTACCATTCTAGATTGTGTAGTAATATAGTGGAATCGATTTATTTAACCACATAGGGTTTGTAGCGAGACTGTGTAACAGAAACTATGCACAGAATCAAATGAAGGGTATAAATATTGAAAAAAGAAAAATAATGCTCTAGTTTGGTACATCTTCAAAGAATTAGAAGTATTAATTCAAGTTATGCACTTCCGTACTGTCCCTGAGTTTATTAGTGTGTAACATCAGTCAGACCCAGAGGCAGCAGCTCAAACAACCGGTGTCCCAGCTTTGCACAGTCCCTCTGAGTGCTGCATACTCTCTTAAGCCAGCAAGTTCTGAACAGGTTCTTCGGGGATTGAGGAGGGTGGGGCTTTTTAGGTGTTGATGACCCTCTGTAGTGCCTTCTTGTGTGCTGTGGTGCAGCTTGTGAACTATAAAGATATGCAGCACACTCAGTGGAGCAGCAGTAGACAGTCAGCTACTGCCACCTTACACTAGGTTGAGCCCTCTTCACATTTCTATGGTGTTAGAGCTCAATTGGAGGTCTGCATCCATGTGCTGACCCAGGAACATAATGCTGGCTACCCTCCAAACATTGCCCAATAACGGTGATAGGCTGCAGGACAAAGTTGCTCCCCCGGAAGGCAACAATCACCTCTTTAGTCAACAATCGATTTGCACGAAAAGGTCAGTGTAAGCCTGCCTATACCTAGAATTTATTTACTCTTGTTTGCAACTGTGTTGTTTCTGTGGGAGAGAGCTGTTGACTCTTTCATGTGTGCTGTTTGATCAGGTCTTGGCTGTAACAAGCACACATGGCTGACAAAAGTACAAAAATACACAGATAGTTTACATAGCTATGTGTTGATATAAAGTGAGCTTCAGGGCTACTGTAAACTAACTCTGTGGTGATAATTCTGCAGTCCAGTGCTCTGTGGAGATAAACAGTTTTATTTGTGTTGTTCTGTAACATTTGAAGAAGTTTTTTGCTAGAAATCCTCTTTTTCCTCTTTTGTTGATTGGAAAATACTCTCTTTTATACCTTATAATTGACTTGAATGTGTTTTACCATTCTTCCCCACAAACATTTAAAACTTCGACCCTAATAAATACGTACATAAAAGTGAAATATTTTTTTTAAGTTCTGAAGGGATTTGCCTTAATGTAAATTGCACAGAACTACAAGCCCAACTGAGAGTTGCCCAAAACATAATGTGTGTTTGATAGAGTTTACAAAAAACATGTTTCTTCTCTCTAGGCTCTTAGCTGTTTTCTCAGCTGGGTTTTAGTCAGAAATAAGCTATATGGGCTTATGTGCATTGGGTAATGACACCAGAAGTTCCAATTCTGGATGTGAAAATTGTGCAAAACAAAGAAGATGTGACTTCCTTAAGGGAGCACTTTGGTCTCTAGATTGTTTGCTCAGCTCTGAAAGGGTTTCTGTTTATTTTCATCGTTTTGTTGCTCCTTCTATATTTCAGCCCATACAGAACAACATGTATCTCCACTCATATACTTAGGATTATGTTTTCCTAAGTATGCTGTTTTTCTACTTTGTAACAACACTTAAAAAATACATACTAAAAACAATATAGATGCTTATTAGTTCTGATAGAAATGTACCAATTTGGCTATGTCAAATACAAAGTAAGTCAATGAACAGATGTAACAAATGCTGCTGCAACATTCCTTTTTGTAAGATGCAGAGGAAAAGTGTTTGCTACCTTAAAGTCTTCTTCTTTAACTAAATATCAGAACTAAATGTTTTATGTTTTCATGAAAAAAAAAAAAAATATATATATATATATATATATATATATATATATAGTTTTTATTAAGAGAGAAAAAGCAATACAAAATAATCTTGCTCCATGAGAATTAATCATCCCTAAACTTATTAAATGGTTGTGCCACATTCAGGCAAATATTTGACATTAAATGCAATATGTTTTGGATCCTTTTGATGGAATTCTGGCAGGATAGCTTTAGTCTTTTCATATTTGCAGGGTTTTTCAACGTTTTTGGCCCTCTTCCCCAAGTATCCTAAATAGATTTAATTCCAGACTTTGACTAGGCCACTCCAATTTGTTTTTCTGCTTTTTGTTTTATAGCCATACATATGTGGAATTGCAGGTTTGTTGCGGAGAATTCTTGTGCACAAACTATGTGTGCTTGAATCAAGGTCACAATCTATGTCTGGATCTTCTCCTTTTTTTTAGCTAGTTAGTTGAATTAGATCTTTCATTTACCGGAAGTTATTGAAGTCTTAAAGAAGAAAATCAGCTCCAGATCATTACAGTACTTGTCTTCTTGTAGGAGTGTTGTAGTGGTGTCTAAAATGCTGTTGGATGATTGGATACAAAAATAAAAAGTTTTTGTTGATGTGTAGAGATGTGCACACCCCTCTTTTGTATTAACAGCCCACAGTCTTGGATAGATTGGATGTGATTGAAAATGTTTGTTTCTGTTTAAATGTAAAGCAGGTGTAATTGTCCTTATTAGTTAGCTGGGGATTTCACCTTGTATCGCTCCTTTTTGGTACCTCAGTTTCTATCATATAGATAAATCATGAAAACTGACCTAAACTGTGGGATTTCCAACCTTACAACAGGTTAAAGTGTTTTGTATATCTGATTTCTTTACATTTAAGGATACCACTTGAAAGCTGGTCTGACAATAAAATTGCTGCTAATTTCCAGTCCAAACCTTGGTTGGTCCCATATACATACTTTACTACTGGTGAAAGTACATATAAAAGGCTAACAAGTGTCAGATTTACCTATATAATGAAAATCATTCATATTAGTAGAACTTTGGCAAACACTTAAAAAAAAAAGCTTTTTTTTGTCTTCAAATACTCTATAATACATACAATGTCATATATGGGAATTTAACTTTATTCCCGTCAACACAGAGGGGTTAGAGTTTGCCATACCAGCCTATTTGTAGTAAACAATCATTTTCTTTTTTTGTGTGTGTTTTTTGTTTTTAGCTCAAATATCCGACCAGAAAAGGCCAACCATAACTCCCACCAGTTCCGGATGCACACATTTGAAAGAATCACTTCATGTATTTACTGTCACCTATTGCTCAGGTAAGATTTAGCCACCTCAACAAAACTGATATGATTAATTTTGGACACAAAGGTAGGATTCTGATATACCTAAGTGTACTAAATGCTCAGTCTGGAAGCTATGATTAAATTTTGTTCTAGAGTTAATATGTTTAAAGCAAAGCAGGAAGATAATGACATTTTACAGCTCAGTTTTCTAAATAGCTAAAATCCAAATGAAGTATCTACTTTCATAGAGACCTTTAGCTGTCTCTATCCAGAGCTCACCAGTCCAGCTTCTTACTCTTCTTGAGAGCTGAGGGAGTTTTTAGTGTTATTTATTTTATCTTGACAATGTCATAGAAGGCCAGAAATCTCTAAATGTTAAACTGTTTCTTTGCATCATATATATGCAGTTTTGTTTTTAACTCTCTGCAGGGGCATCTTTAACCAGGGTTATGTGTGTCAAAAATGTGGTCTTGGGGCTCATAAAGAGTGTCTAGGTCGACTGGGAGTCTGTGGGAGAACAGGTGAGATGCAGCACGAAATCAACAGTTATACTTTTATTCAAATTTCACACATGCATATATGGTGAACAGTTATTGTCAGACCTGATAAAGATATATATAGAAGTCTTCAAATAATTATAGAAAAATGTTTTTGTAGAGCCCCAAAGACTAAAATATATATTTTTTTATAGTTTTTACGGCACTACTGGCTCATTTTTTTGACAGTAGGCTGACAGGAAAGGGGGCATGAGACATGCAGCAAAGGATCGCAGGCCAGATTCGAACCATGTCGAGGACTAAGGCCTCTGTACATGGGTTTTGCACACTAACCACTGCTCCACCTGCACACCCCAAAGACTAAACTTTAATAGTAGTTCTACAAAAGTGAGCTTTGGATGATATGTTTACCTGCCTTAATGTTTGATATACACTCAAAAAAGAAAATGCTGCTCCAAATGGAATTTATTGCGTTATCTGGTAACAAGTAATTCTATTAAGTTTGCCCAACTTAATTAATTTATTTAACTTATAAACTCAATAATTTTATTTGATTTAATTACTTTTTACTAATTGAAGCAATTTATTTCAGTTAGAGCCGTATTTTCATTTTATTGGGTGATTTTTCAGCAGGGCTGCTTAGTGCCGCAGTGGGTAGCTAGAAGGTTCCTTGTTCGATTCCCGGCCAGGGGTCTTTCTGCATGGAGTTTGCATGTTCTCCCTGAGCATGTGTGGGTTCTCTCTGGGTACTCTGGCTTCCTCCCGCAGTCCAAAAACATAACTGTTAGGTTAATTGGCTTCTCTAAATTCTCATTAGGTGTGAGCGTGTGTGCGAATGGTTGTTTGTCCCATTTGTCTCTGTATTGCCCTGAGATGGACTGGCGACCAGTCTAGGGTGTACCCCACCTCACACCCGTAGACAGCTGGAGATAGACACCAGCACCCCTTCTGACCCCGCTTAGATAAGCATGACTGAAAATGGATGGATTTTCCAGCATCAGTATCACATTATTATTTTAGCATTTGTAAATTTAACTCAGGGCCAGGGGAATAACATAACAAAACCCCTTGCTTGGCTGTTTGTTTTCAATTTGAAATCATTGCTCTCAGTGTAGATTGAAGGAAGTATCTATTTTCTTTAAGACAGTTCCTGATGTAAGAAGATCTGTCACAACTGAGTGTTATTGTTCTCGTGCCTTTCCAAGTTTCAAGAGTAACTATGAGAAATGAATTATTCTGGCTGCAAATACAGTACATAAAGTTGCTTAAAATAGCAATTTACTTGTAGTTATTTCCTGTCTTCACCTCTTCCTTCTTTAAATAGCAAATTCTGTTGTCTTACCTGTTTTAATAAGCAGCTACAGTAAGACAGAGGATGTTACTTTGACTCTAGTTAACAGCAGGCTTATGCTGGTAGAACATTTCCTATGGCTATTTCCTGACACATGATGATAAATATACAGGTGGTTTACTGGAATGATAAGTGTGTTATTTTTCTTATTTGAACAGCATCAAAGATAAAAAGGTACAATGTTGACTGTATAGTCATTTGACCAGTTGTCCTGTGTTGAAAGTCTGTTTCTCTGTATCCCGTTTTGAAGAGTGCCTTAGAGAAAGTGGCAGAGTCATATCATTTTTATAGCCCAGGGAATTAAGAAGTTAAGGACTTGTAGTTAAAAGTTCCTAGACTTTGTGTCATCAAAACATTTTTACAGCAAAAATTTGACATTTGTCAGGAATTGTTAGCGATGCCTCTAAATATGGAGCAGTGATCTTTTGTGTTGTCATATATATAATATTTATTTATATTAATGCTGCGTTTAGCTTAATGTCTGTGTCACCAGATCGGTGCTTTTAGGTACATTACCCTCCAGCTAAAGCCAGCTCAAGAATCTGAAAAGCTTCTCTTTTTCACAACCACTGTGGTTTTTATGCATTCAGAGGCATGATAAGGGGCCAGCAAAGGTTGACAGTTGAGGTTGGGTGTCAAGAAGCCACCATATTCTAATATTGTATTCCACTCACTGTGTCTGTTTCTCACCTGCCTGCAGATCCTGTCAAGCTGAGGCCCAAGGTAAGACCCGGTCTGTTTCTCTTCTTCAGCTTAAGACATCTTAGCTAACGTAACAATTCAGGCATGAAACAGCAGCTGCACTACTATTTCTGTCTGTGGTTAGAAAGGTAATCAACGCTTTTGTTTTTAATATCAACAAAGCTTTATGTGACCTTGCTATTACAGTTATAACTTCCCTGTTTACTCAAGGATGAAGCTGATATGTGGAGTTTAAATTATAGGAGTTTTTTTTATTGGCTACAACTTTTCTTTTGCTTTAAAGTTTTCTACCTTCCAGACCTTTAAGCATAAAAAGAAAATCAATTAAAATTATCATCTTAGGGACTAGAAATCAACCCTTTAAAATATACCTGGTCAGGATATAGCAGACTTTTTGTGCAGAGGAAGCTTGATTAATGAGCTGTATGAATGTATGAATATTTATATAGGGATAAATGTTTTATGTGATGTGCCTCACCTGTCTGTTGCAATAAAGCATTGGTTCCAATTGGTTTTGGTAAAGACCTAATACCTTCTTTTAAAACGATCTGTCCCTATTTTCCTTTTTGGAATCGGATAACAGAGGGTAATTTAGAGGGTTATCCCTCTCCCCAATGACACATTAAGAGCCTCTTGTGCCTTAGTAGAAAGGGAACACTATTAAGACTTTGCACCAGTGTTTACGCCCCTTAAACTTATTAAATATGTAAACTTAGATATATACTAAAATCCCTCCTTTTTAGGTAAAGATTTACTGCTAAACCAGAAGGACTCATTTGTGTTTTCATATAATGTGCATTTGTGTAGAGCCATGGGGGATAGATATAGTCATCCACAGATATCTTGGTTCCATTATGTGATTAATTCATTATTGAAAAAAACTAGCTGATTAAGTGTAATCACATCCAACTATTTCAAGTATCATTCATTTTTAGCAAAATCGAATATTGAATAAGATTGGGCATAAATATATGTCTATTTGAGTCCAATTATATATTAATTAAGCCCTTGCAGAAAAACAGTTTCCTCTGTTAAAAAAAGAAATTCAGAAAGATTGAAACCTGGAACTTTAATGAGCTCTGTGTGCTTACTACTGTATGTATGTATTAGCTGACAAATCACAGCTTTTTTCAGTGCAATTATAGTCAAATTTCTGATTGAACATACGGTCTACAGAAACCTCTGTGGACAATCAGCCATCAGGTTATAGAGGACTAGCTCAGCCCTGAATAGTTCAGAATCTGTTTAAATAGGGTTCCGTTAAATTGTTATTTTTAATATCGTATCTGTAGTAGGTAATAGTTTTAAATCATGGTTTAGTGACAATAGCACTCAGATCATCCCTATTTATATATCATTCAGCCACAAAAGGAATAAAAGACAGCAGGTATTGGCAGCAAATATTCTGACCAGGTCATCAGCATAAGTTATTGGGCCTGTGAGTTAAGAATTTTATATACATCAAACAGCTTTATACAAGAAGGCTATCATTGTAAAATACAGACAGGTGTGTGTTTACATTGATATCAGATAGAGGAAGAATTCAATTGACCTGCATTGAGAGCAAACATAATAGTTCGTTTATCCAAATGAGGGCAGCGTCACACCAAGCATCAGGTACAAGCACACCTCCTCACTGAAATAAAAGTTCCCTAAGAGCTGTTTTCAGACACCATCGGAATTACTTTCTTGCTAAAACTCTTTAAGTTAAGAAAATGCAATGAAATAACCTACCTAACAGTTCATTAAGCAATAGGAGAAAAAAGGTAGAGAACAGCTCTAAGTGTTTTTCCCAATAAAAAAATTTTAATCCCTTTATTGTCCCATAATAGGGAAATTAACTCCCTAGGGGGCTGCCATTGTGTGGCGCCTGGGTTAAGGGTTTTGCTCAGGAACTCAGATTGCAGCCTGTGGGAATCGAACCGGGTACTTGCAACCTTCTCAGAGCACAAGCACACTGCTCTAACCACTAGACCAACACTCACCTCCAACAAACGGATAAAACATTTCACTTTATTGCCTTTAACTGTTTAATCATTTCAACTGCGTGACTTATCAACATGATTGCATGACTCATTCTTCATTTCACTCTAATTCTAAGCTTTTTGTCTCCCTCTCTGCTTTCCCCCCTTTTTTTGCAATTTACAGGAGACCACAGCAGCAGCAGACTCAGGTCGGTATGATTTGACCACCAAAGCAAGCTTGTTAACGTGCCTAGGGCTTCACATACTTTTTTTTACTAATTTCTTTGCACAGCTGTGTAGCAAAGCCTTCACAGACAGATGGAAATGATAGCTGATATATCTTCAGTCAAAATGTGTGCAGTCATGAGACACAGTCAGAATGTTTTTTTTTTAGAAATACAAAGCCATAACTCATTTCTCCTCTAGAGCAGAATGTCCAATTGAGTGAGACATTTAACAAATTTTAATGACCGGATAAAAGTATGAGCAAGGGATCGTTAACCAGAGCGGGAAAGAAAGCCTCTTTCCTTCAGCTCGCCATGGTGCCTAAGCCCTTGATCGCATTGAGATGAATTGGAGTGGGTGGAATGATTATGAAAGCACGCAGGAGAAATACTGGAAAAGAAATGCAGAATGGCTCCCCGAGCGATCCGTGGTACCTCAGCCTGGGCTGCTGAGCCGAGCAAGCCTTTGTTATAAATCAATTTCCATAAAGGCGTTTATGAGGACGACAGCCAAGCTTATTGTTCTTATTAAAAACATGAATGTGAGCTATTCCATTCATCTGAGGTCACAGCCAGCTAATAGTTTCCTTAGGCTGGTTTGCAGGGGAGTGGGAACTGGAAGGGTGATCTGTCTGAGGCGGGCTAGGTGTGAGTCAGCGGAGAGTAAGTGGCTGTGTCTCCTAAGTTGGCAGGGGTGTTTAGTCTTTGCCTCAGCCTTGTGCTCGTGGCTGTGTTGCTCTGCAGTGAAGGGGAAAGATTGTTGCAGCAATTTTAAGGAATCAAAGAGATAGATTTCCCATGATGGTGAATTGGTGCTTTAAGGGTGGGACCGTTTAAATGCCTTAGATCTTAAAAGACATGGAAGAGTTAGGAAGGAAACCACTCAATTAATAACTAATTAAGTCATTTGATATGTTTGAGAAAAATGAACAGAAAATAACACTCAATGATTGTTTTATTAACATTTGGTGTATAGCCTGGGTGTGTTTATCAGTGGCACATTTTTAGTTGTATAAATATAGTTCTCTAGTAATGTAATGAAGAATTTAGCTTTTAGGCATTTCCTGCTCTAGATCCTGATAAAGATACAAGTCTACAGGCATTAGCAAATTCTTAACTGCATAATATCAGTCTAAATATTCCTAAAAGTAAAACAAATATTGTTGATATGAATATATTTAAAATTCCTATTTGATTTAAGAATAATAACTATAAGCACTTCATCAGTGTTAGACATGCTCATCAATAACCTTTGGGACAATGTAATATGCCTATGCAGTGTTGCTTCATACTGACTTTTGCAGGAAAAAGTAACAGCAATGAAATGTGCTTCATCACAGATTTCTTCAGTATTTGAGTATTTAAAAAATTGTAACATCAGAGATTATCTGACTGCGATCAAAAGCCAGTTTTAAAATGATGGTTTTATTTATTAAAAGAAAAAGTTTAAAAGGATTACTTAATGATTTCCAGAATTAAAAAATCAAGTACTAGTAGGCTAAAAGTAGGCAGAAGTAGGCAAAAAGAGCTGAATAAATAAACACGTAATTATCCCTATCTAACATCATTTTAGGATCAACATCACTGACATCAATCAGTCTTTTTTGTAATAATTGTTTCAGGATTTAAAGGATCTCTGAACGGCTACATTATTATATTTTACTGTATTCTTTTAATGTTCCCTTATCTTGTATATGTTTTCTTTTATAATATTAAAGACTAACCACAAATAATTTAACTGGATTGTTAAGATTTCCTACTAAAATACAGAATTAAATCCATGCAGTAGTATTCCTCTGCTTATCTTTCTCTAATTTTCTAAGCTGAAAGCAGAGAATGTTTAATTTGACTGTGTTCCCTGTCTTGCTGCCAGGTTTACCAAGGATGATTGTGATCAGGGACTACAGCGGTGTCCCCAGTCCCCTGTGTGGTCCTGCTCTAAGCATTCAGGCGGGGGATGTAATTGAGTTGATGTTTGCTGACCTGCACAGCTCCTGGTGGCAGGTGTGTGTCACACACAACTCATTCCTGTTTTATGTCTGCATCTGTGACTTTATGAAAAAGTAATATGTTCAGACTCAGTAGACTGGTAAGACACACGCAATATCTTTTCGACATCACTGGCTTAAATCAATGCTGCATTTTGAGACCAGCAGAACTGGTAGTATTAACAAAATATTGCTGTTCCGACATCAATAATTTATCTTTTTAGAAGCTTTTTGTGGTTGTTCATATACTCTGAGTCCTGCCTAAAGAGGTCAGAAACAATCAGAAATATCAGAGATTTGTATTCACTCGGCTGGTCCCCGGCCACATTAAAAAAGGCACATCTCTCCTCTCTGTCACTGTTCAGATTGAATCAGAGCCAACATGAGATGACCTCACCAATTAGTGAATTCAGTTGATTAACAAGGTGCCACATTGAAACAATAAAGCTCCAAACCTTTAACCTCACCATTGGTTGTTTTACTGCTTATTATCCGCCCTGTTTTCTGACGCATTCAGCAAACCTCACGACATCAGCCCAGCAGTTCGGGGACTTTGACCTTATCTGTTTTTGAAAGGATTGTGTTATCAGAGGTCTGCTGGCAGCCCACCTCACTGCTTCCAACTCTGTTTTATGGTGGCTTCAAAGCGTCATTCTCCTTCCTGCTCCAATCAGAGTGCAGCCTTTGCTAGCAGCCCTGCTAGGAGTGACCATTTGGATTTCTGATATCCCAAGATTCTTTCCGTGTTTCTCTGCACAAATTAGAGGACAACGATATGAATGCCAGGAGACGTGTTGTAAACTGGCTGAATAGCAACCAGAAATGCCATGCCTGAGAACTGCATTGTATGCTACCATGGCAACCGTGCATTATGTAGGAACACATAAAAATTATAATATGGTAAAATATGTTTTATTTATACCTGCTTCATGATGATACTGGAAACAGGTTAAGATAAGTTAGCATTGGTAGAGCTGTGTTTTTCTAGGCAGGATACCGCCATGTGGTGCAGTAGTACTCAAGTAGAATTACACTGACTCCTAAAGGTATTCATACTCCTTTATCACATTTTATCTGCAGAAAATGTGGCATATTATGAACCAAGTAGGTGAGGTAGCAGATATTTAAGGATATGAAAATAAATGAATAGAACCAGGGAAGCTAAAACACAGAAACAAGTTCAAACTGTGAACAGAACTCAATCCAAGACAAAAATGAATTAAGATAACAGCTAAAGAAAAAAACAAGTAAAAACACCAAACTAATGCAATTGGTTTCCAAATATAATAGTAACTAAGATATAAAACATATATCTTAGTTTTGTATATGCCTGTATCTGAATACATTCATACATATACAAAACACAAGTGCTAAGAATTGAAACTAAAAAGATCTAAAGATGAAATACCCAGAGAGATATCCAAATAAATCAGAACACAACCAATGGCCCTAGGATGTCGACACAATTTCAAATTCACTTGAAGATAGGCCTCTGAACATTGGTGTCCAATTTACAGCTGCATTTTTTGCACAGACCTTACTTGAACGATCAAAATGAAGCTTTTGAGATATTGATTTAGCCAGCCTGTGTTAGCTGCAGATTTTTCTGGATAAAAGTTGTATTTAAAACAATGTTATTGTAATTATTGTGAAAGTGCATCAGATGGATTGCATATGGCGACAAAAAAACTCATAGGCATGTAACAATCATGAAAAAGATAGACTCACCTGCTGTGCCTGATGTTTTATGCAATATTGCTAGTAGATTTGCTCAACTAATTTTACTTAAATCAACTTTCAAAACAGAGGAGGACACTAACACAAACATAATAAACAATATACAATATTATAAACAGCACTATGGACTGTGGAGCTATGCAATCTTAAACAGATGAGTTTTTAATCTTGATATAAACAGAGGTATTGCGAATATCAGGAGGGAGTAAATTCCAGGTTTTGGGTTGATTACAGCCCTTTTTCCATTTTATACAACATCAATTTTCCCTGTCTTTTGCAAATATTTCTACTTTAATGTTAACCAATACATAAATCTTGCCATATATTTTGTATGATGCACCGCTATTATCCATAAGGTAGTGTTTCAGTCTAAATGTAGTTGGATGTATGGATGTAGTTATTTTTTATTTTTTTTGCAGCCACCAGAATAATTTTAACCAGATTTTGGTCCCTCCAATTTACATTTTCCTGCGTTGTTACACCACTTTAAAATAAAATGAGGCCCACTGTAGCAAATACCTGACACCTTATTTTTTATTTGCTTTTACATATATCTCACATCACTTATTTTTAAAAAGAAATATCCCTTACAAAGGTATTTTAAAAAACAAAGTCTAACAGCTGTAATATTTCTTCCCCTTGGTGATGATACTCAAGAGCCCGTACCAGTTATGAACAAAAAATATTACAAAGACTAGTGAAACAAAAGATTATCAGCTTCATACAAACTATTTTTGAGAGGTTCTATAGTTGAACACAATACGATTTTGGGAGAAACTGAATCTGAACAGAACCTTGTTTGTTTACAATGAAAACTCCACAGGGTGCCTTTAATCTTCAACGTCCCCAGTGGTGCCAGAGGATGGAATTACAGAACACTGAGAATTCATATCCCCTCTTACCCAGAAGGCAATTATCTCCCATCCCCCTGGCATAACAATACAATCAATCACAGTAATTTCATTTGATCCTCTAGCTGCTGCCTGTTTATGCCAGCAGAGTAATAAGTTTAATCTGTATCATACGCTTATCGAAAGCATAACAAATAGAGAAAGGCTCTCTTAAAAACCTTTGATGAAATGTTATTACACAAAATGAATCATAGAGATGGGTAAAGATTTGCTTTCCAATTCAGTTACTGCTAGGGCTTGCGTGGCTCCAAAATGCACTTTATATCCTAATAAAGAGTAGTGAGGAGTGAAGCACGAAACGGGCAGGAAGCTTAACATGTCTGCACCACTTCTTGTTTTCTCAGGCTCACTCAATGGACTTTAAATTGACCTCAGATTTAAACCTGTTAACCCAGATTATCAGGTCCATGTTAACATGTGTTCCTGCTGATGTCTAAAACATTAGTTACATGACAGTGAATTAAAGCTGTGTTAAAACTCACTTATGTTCAAAATGTCTACATAGAAATGGTAGATTTTGACAAAGAAAAATGAACCCTAGAATTTATTTGTTTTTTTATGGATTTTTTAGCCTTTATAGTGACCTTATTATCTTTTCATTCAAAACAACCACAACTCTAAATATGGGGGGTATAAAAAACTTGGTTGAAACACCGTTACATTTTGTTAACTTTTAGGCACTCTCCTGCTTGTTCTCATAGCTCGCACTCATACTTAAAAAGTTTTTTCTTTTTTACTTTTTCCACCTTACCTGGAGTTGCCATTGGTGTCTGAGTGAAGTTAGATGATGCTCATTTCTGAGTATCCACAAAATCCATCTAGACTATAATGCTTAGATTGTTTGCTAGGTCAGAGCCATGTGACATGGATGCGCTTGACGTGACATCTGTCAAACAGAGTGGGAATTTCCGACACAAAGTAAATTTAGGAGAATAAGCTACAGGCTTAAAGATGCATTGATGCTGAACTACTGAGGTGTCAGTCTGCTTGTCAAACAATGTTTTATCGTAAATGGTAAAATAAAAAGGATTTTTTGAAGATATTTTCAGTAAAAAACGTATATAATGTATTTTTTAAGTACACTGTTCTTTTGTTGTGGTGTTTTATTTGACCTCAGCTGTTGTAATTATGAACTCAAAATTTCTGCTCGCTTTCAGACGCGACCACATTTTTAAAATGCTTTTGAAAGGACTAAAACATGTTTGGATATCTCTCTGTGGAAGGGTGCTCTATTGCCACCCTACCTTAAAGCGCAGACATATTAAGAACTAGGGAGGTTGGTTTCACCTGCAGTACGTGACAAAGCCAGCACTTATTGGAGATTCCTGGAAGTCCTTTGTTGCTGTAGGCCCATTGGAAGGCTTCCTAACCAGTTTTCGTCTTGCCTTTTCATTGTATGGTCTTTCTTGGTAATTTTAATTTTGTACCATTTTATCACAACTTTATGACGAATTTCCTGGCTGCATTATATATTGTGCATATTCCCTTGGAAATGATTATGTTATATGCAGCAGTAGTTCTCTGTGGAGCATTATGCTGTGATGGCTGGTGTATTCTGACTCTTATTTAAAATAATTTTAAATCACATGGATAATTTTGAACCGAGCCACATCAGAGGGTGTGTATGAAATTTCCTAAAGCTTTCTATTTCGTAAACTGAGTTGTAGAGGTTAAAGGTGACATTAAAGGTGAAGAGAAACACTTTAACAGAGATTTGTTATGTTGTAACCCTTGTAGGGAGACTGTATCTGCATTAAAATTCAGACGCTAGTTTTAGCTGTTGGGTTTGTGAAATGCATACATTACTTTTTATTATATTTTTCTTAAATAACTATAAATGAGCATGTATTCCAAATGTAAATGCTTCTAAAATAGTGGTTGCATCGGGAGGGTTTTCTTAAAAAAAAGGAAAAAAAAGAAACAAGCATCTGTTATTCTGTGCTCACACTGTTTGGGTATTAAAAGACCTGAATAAGATCCATTATTTAGTGTTAAACGAGGCTTCTGTTTTGATGCAGTACAAATCTAACTGCCGGCAGAGTTTGAACCGTAATTAACTCAGGCTGCAAATTAGATGCACTGCTTGTTGTGTGCTAATTGCTGAGGATTTACCGAAGCGAGAGTGTGTGTGTGTGTTTGGGGGGGGGGGGATTAGTTGTTGTTGGAAAGAAGAGAAAAAAAACAGAAAGTTCTTCTGAACCCAGGCAAGTATAATGCGATTAACAAGCTGCTGCCATTGCAGGGCAAAATTCTGGCGACAAGCAAAACTGGCTTCTTCCCAAGTGATGCTGTGAGGCCTTGCCCATGTGTAAGTGTTTGTATTTATCCAAATCAATAACACAAAATCTTTTGTTATTACAATGCATTCAGCAGATAATGGCCACTATTGATGTCTTAGCAATGAGATGTAATACTTAGAATTGCCTTTTTTTAACCGCAGAAGGCTTATTTTAGCCATCAGTTGTGCCTTGAATATCACATTTCCACTAATGCGTTGACTCTCTGTATTGATTGTTTTAAAACACAAAATAACCACAACTCTTCTATCTGCCAGGTTCCAAAACCTGTCGATTATTCTTCCCAGCTTTGGTAAGAAAACAAAGATTGTGCATGCTAAGCATAATTCATTTTGAATTTTGATATTGATTGTTATTCTCTGTTCTTATTGTTATGTGATGAATCATGGTATAAATGAAGTACCGGGTAGTTGTTCATTGATTGTTCAGGTTTGCAGGGCTGATGGAGAGATACCAGGCTGAGGTGGAGCTTATGGACAGAGAGAATAGCACTTATCTCGTTCGACACCGGAGCAAAGAGTGCAACGAATATGCCATTAGTATAAAGTGAGTTTCTATGCATTCCTAAGTCTTCTATACTACTTACTACCATCAAAACAAAAAGCTGACCAAAAGCATACTGGAATAGAGGTACTTACTAGATGAATTAGATGGATTAAAATAATGAACACATAAAAAATAAATGTAAATAATAATTGAGAGGGGAAATGTTATCATAGGAATGAATATGATTTAGAATGATAAAACTCAAAATAAAAATTACATCTAATAACGCATTTACAAAAATTCAGTTCAGTTTATTAACATAGCATCAATAAACTACACGCCATCTATTTACAAAGGTGACAAACAGTATTGATTATATAAATTGCATTAAATAGAAAAAATCATATAAGCTGGTCATTTGTACAAATTATTCCTTCTTGCTGAATGCAGAGATGAGAGTTAAGAGCCCCATGGCAACCCTGCACAGGATGCCAGGTGCAGTATGCAGCTCTCTATTCAGAAAGACCCCCACTTACATCCTCTTATGAAAATATTGATTTAGTCTTGTCCTTCAAAGAAAGATTCAATTAAATAGCATTCAGCTCATTTGATTTATGTAGCACCAATTCACAACATATGTCATCTCTGTTTTAAATTTAACAATATGGAGCAATACCAGTGGTAAAGCTAGAGGCACCCTAGTACTTTATTGTTCATGTGCAGTCAACAAAAAGAGATATAAATAAGGAGAGAAATTGAACATTATATGTATGATGCAATGGTCATAAATAGCATTGGTATCAACTGTGGTACATTTTTAATACCGTGTTCCAAAATTGAATATGAACAAGATAAACAAAATAAATAGCATAACAGCTTTACATGGAAATTCTTCGTATTGTAAAGACACAGCATGGTGCAAATGCAATAACTGTGGTTCTGGCATTATGGTAAAAAATCTAATAAATAAATAAACTCAACTGTATTGATCTCACCATGGAGAAATAACCTTTCTGCATTTAACCCATCCCCTTGGGGAGCAGTGGGCTGCCACTGTGCGGCACCTGGGGACCAATCGGTTGAACATCCCAATTGGTGAACACGTGAACATGTATCTGGTTAGTTTTCAACCGATGTTTCAGTGTGATTTTAGAACATGAGCTGGCAGTGTGTTCAATGACTGTGCTCCTCTTATGGATGCAAGCATTTGGCCAGATTTGGTCCTATGCCGCTGAACATACAGTAACAGTCTCCTCTGGTTGCCTGGGTTTGTTTGTGTTACATGCAAAATTTATCTTGAAATAACCACAAAAAGCCCACCCCATATCACACAACTTATTCTATTCCTGGGATGTTTAACATTGTTTGTCTGTACAAGATAAAAAAAAAAAAACCCACTGATACAAAAAAAAAAGACAGATGATGATGAAATATGGAATCTTTATAAAATGTTACTTAAAAAATTCTTAGAACCGAACAAACAAAATACTTTGCAAACAAAGTATATTATAATTAACTTCCACACTAACTTAACCCACATCTTTTTCTGTTTTTTTTAATTTTTTTTTTATATCCTTTTATTAAATAATGTTGTACATTAATGGTCTAGCAGGTACAGAGTTCATTGAATGCACTCCAAAACCAAAGGTTACCAGTGTGGCATGTTAGACTGCCACTTTAGGTCAGTCCACCCTTATGCATTTAGAAGCAGCTAAAATGAATAAAGGAACAAAGCTAACAAAGCACACTTTGTTATGGTTTAAAAAAGGCTTTCACAGAACAGCAGGTCTTATGACTGTTCTACCTACAAAATGAGACCCTTCCAGAAAAAGAACAGGCAATAGGATTCCTACTGTTGCCCAGTGTTCATTGATGTGTAGGCAGCAAAGGTGGTGTGACTCTGTAGATTCCATTATACAGCTATTAAATTGCTGAAATCCTTTATGCCTTCCCTCGTAGAAAGTTGGCAGATGACACAATGTGCTGCTGCTTGCTGATTATTAGACTGTACGACTGCAGACACGTAAGGCCTCCAATACTGAGATTATTCCACAACTGAAACTGTCTGTGATGGACAAGCGAGTGTCAGAACTGGATGAGGCAAAAAAAGTCTGATCTGATGAGTCACCTTTGTTTTATATCATTGTGTAAAACAAAATGAATCATGTCAAAGCAATGCAATACAGGAATATGACAAGCTGGCAGAAACACTACAGTGCACTCTCTGATGATCACCTAGAAAAACATCTCTCATCCTGGAATGTATGGAGATGTTTTGATAACATTTACATCCTGCATAATTGCTGTATTGATTATTTTTTCTTTTTATAAGAACATTTATTTATTCCCAGATGGTGTTCTATAGCAGGAGAGTACACCCTTCTGAAAGTGCCATCCCCTAAAACACCAGACATCCTTAAAAAAATGTTTGTAAGCTAAATGTGGTCTGTCCGTTATAGTCTAATCTGAAAATTATGGCTTTTCACCTTTCATTTTTCAACCACATGTAGACATTGTTTGGACATAAATCATGTTGTCTCTTCAATTAGTTTTTAACCAGTGTTTGGTGTAGTTGATGCATCATTCCACATACAATATTTCTGATGATTAGATGATGATTAGATTTTTTAAATTCCATGGTTACCTTTGTCCTTTAAACGTTACATCTCTCATAAACAAGTTTCAGATTAGTTCTAAACCCTTAATTTGGATTTTTCATATGAATAGCAAACTTTTTTTCACTGTGAATTACCCATTGTCAATTGCTAACTCTACACATCCCTATGCACATACATCTCAACAACAAAATATGGAGTACTGGCATTAAACTGTAAGGATGCTTTCCTTTTAGCATTCATCATGAACATAATGTAACTACTGCCCCCGACATGACCTTCAGCTCCATTATAACACCAGAGGTGATCAAACCCAATGGTGGTCTCTTTTGCAGTCTACTGCTGCATTGAGGGGTATCTTGTCCACCTCAGCTGGGCATCGTTTCAAAACATACAGCAAGGCATGTGGTCCTGTGGTTTGCGAAGCAAGCCACTGCTGTATTATTCCCCTATCTTTTTTCTTAGAAGCCCTCTGTTGGCTTGGAGGCTACACAAATATCTGTTGTTGGATTAACAGGAAACAGACAAGAAATTCCTACATTCTTTCTGAAAATCAACTGAACTGTGGTCTACCCAATTGCTTTGACCAAGCACACTGACTGGACCCATCTTGCTTCCTCTGTTGCTGCCTAAAGCTGTAGATCATAGGAGCCTGCACTTTATCTTTTCAAGCTGAAACTGGGCTGAGCCATGGAGAACTGCAGTGGCCAGCCCAGAATCCTTCTCCCCCATCCTCTGCGCCTTCTAGTGGGAAGCTTCTACAAGTAAAACATTTATTGTTTTTGCTACTCTTAACTCATACCTTGGCAGGTTTATGTAGAAAAAGGTTTTAAAGAAGATATTTGCTTAATTTTTTTCTGTTGGATGTTCTTTTGTGTGATTTAAACGCTGATAAACTGTTACTCCCTTCTTGAATTTTGGTCACAGAATTGCTTGAAATTATACCCGACGAGCCCCCACTTAAATGTTACAACCCAGCTCAGCTTGAGGGAAGGGGAGAATAACATTAGCCAGTTAGAAAATTTAAATGTTTTTTTTTTTTTCAGTTTTTTTTTTTAAGCTAATGTGGAAAAAGGTAAACATGAGTCAATTAAAATTGAATACAGAAATAAATTATGTTAACAAAGGTAAAAATAAGGAATGCTCTGAAGCGGTTTTTAGGTGCCTTTAAATTATTTTTTTTTTATTTAGCCCTAGAAGGCCTGCTTGTCCTCCTCCTTTAACTCCAGCACAGACCCCCGGTCTGTCAATGCCCAGCACTGGTGCTTTCTGCATAGGTAGATTTACAAGGAAGTACCTCCGAATGCAATCAACGTTAAGATGCAGCTCTGGGTGAACCAAAGTGATCTACTTTTTCAGTGTTTCTTGGGTTTTTCCAAAAATTTATCCCCAAGTCGATTCAATATACTAAGAACAATTAAGCAGCAGTCTGTAATGTTATGTTTCACCTATGCTTTTATTGTGAAGTGGCAACAGCATGATCTTGACAGAAAATGCTATGTGCTTGGTCAGGTGATCTAAGAGTCTGATAAGGTACTGAATATGTGAAGCTATCATTACAGCAACTAACTAAGGTAAACAGGCCTACTGCAATATTCAATGCCAAGCCCAGGAATTCCATATCATATTATGCAATATCTTTATATCAGGAAACGAGCGGAACACTAATGTCTGCTGGGATGGCTACTTCATCGGCTCCAATTAAAAATGATTCTATCTTAAAAACCATAAGAGCACAAACGACATTTTACCTGCAAAATATCAAGTAGCACTGAAAAAGTAGATAAATGTTATTCATTTAGGAGCTTAATAATATTTAATATACCTAATCTATCATCTTAACTTTTTTTTTTACTGGAGCTGCTCAGTGGTGCAGTGGGTAGCACTGCTTCCTTGCAGCAAGAAGGTTCTGGGTTTGATTCCCAGCCTGGGGTCTTTCTGCATGGAGATTGCATGTTCTCTCCCTGAGCATGTGTGGGTTCTCTCCAGGTACTCTGGCTTCCTCCCACAGTCCAAAAACATGACTGTTAGGTTGATTAGGTGTGAGTGCGTGCATGATTGGTTGTTTTTCCTGTGTGTCTCTGTTTTGCCCTGCGATGGACTGGCGACCTGTCCAGGGTGTAGCCTGCCTCTTGCCCATTGACTGCTGGAGATAGGCACCAGCCACTCTATCGAACCCACTTGGGACAAGTGTGTAAGAACATGGATGGATCATTTTAACTGTAAAAACCTACACTAAACAATAAGTCTATCTTAAGAGTTTTTTCAAGTCTGTGAGGTATCAGCTTCGTGGATGTGATGTGGGCCGGGGTGTAAACATACTGCGTCTGAAATGCAGAGCGGTGAACTCCATGCAGGGGTCATGGAAATCAACGTATACACCGTGCTCAGACTGAACGCACCTTTAGAGGTTTACAGAGTGTCACACTCATACAAATGTGTTCTAAGTATCAACATATCAACAAACCACCCAGCCAGTGAAAACTCCTTAAACAAAGACAGCCACCCTGTCCATGTGAGAGTGCTGTTTAAATAAAAGCAGCTCCTCATGGACTCACTAGGTTAATTTAAGTCCAGGTTCACATCTGGTTTAAATATCCCCATTTGCTGTTAAATCACAGTTGCATATATATTTTGTGGTGTGACTCTGATCAGAAACTTAGATTATTCATTATAATTTCCAATTATAGTTATCAAAACTATTCATGATTAAATAAGAATAATTTCTCATGACAAAGATGAGCAGAGCTTTATTTAAGTTCCACCTTTGCAACAGTGTAGAAGTGGTAGTTTTATGTTTTAATCTGAGAGGAGTCGTTTCAACAACAGGGTTAAATTGGAGTTGATGGCAAGGTGCATGTAGCTCTACAGCAATCTTTAAACAATATCCCAACCAGGCCTTTTCACATAAAAATGATAAAGCAATGGACCGTCTGCCTTTCATTTTATAGTTATTACCTTGTTTATAACTTAAAATTACCAAAGCTTAGACTGCAATTTGCATTTGTAATGTGGCTATGCTTTAGTGAGGCACTGCTTTTTATGTAAAAATAACACTATTTTATTCTAATCTTTATCAGCCTTTACTTATTTCATATAAATCAGGGTAATATGGAGAAAAACTGGAAATGGATTATCTGTTTCATTACCCAGCTATGACTCCTAGATCTAAGAAATACTTGATAGCATTTGATGGCACCACTTATTGCTCTTTTGCTAAAACCCTTAGAATTCCATTTCAAAAAAGGGTTAACAGCACCTTTGAATTGTAGATCCCACATACAGTCGCACAAAGTCCCAATAAAAAGCAGCTTTATCTACAAGCAAAGTGCCTTCTTGTCTCTCTTTTGAAATACAACTTTGTCTGTTTAACTAGTGAACATCTTTCAAGCAACATCAAAGCATGCTCAGTCTTTTAAAAGAAATAAAGGCTCATCAAGTCTTTCTGACCTGGCTTGACAATTGCATGATTATAATGATGCAGAGAGCACTCTGACACAACGTTTGGGTTTTAAGACTATTTAGCCAGTGACACATAATTCCAGCCCATTTATGTTTGGTCGACTGTTGCAGTTACTTATTCCCTGCTTTGATCTAGTGGGCCAGTTTCTGAACAGTCCAATCCTAATTGCTCATCTCAGTGCTTAAGATCATTATCAGGATGGCAGTTTGAGATAATGGAGCTTTACACAGTGAGCTCTTAGTGCCTAGCTACAACTGTTTAATGTCAAACCCCACTACAAGTGATCAGCCTATAACCATATCTCTGTGTTTACTTCTATTTTTGTATGGGTTGCAGCCTTGGATTTTTAAGAGAGGTTGTCTTTCAGAAAACAGACTTTAAAAGTCTGTTTGGTTCCTTAACAAGAAACCAGAAACAGCTTGCTCAGAATTTTCTTTGCAAGTATATTTTAGCCCAACTTAGAACCCTGTACATTTAGTGGTGTTCCCAATAATTATCTGGATTTATGATATTTAACATTATCAGGAAGGGAAATGATTTGAAGCCGGTCTGTGCCCTCTGAGTGCTTTCTAGTCACAGATTGTATTAAATGATTCCCTCTCTTCAAAGTTACACATGAAATAACAATGTAAGAAAGTTTTTTGAGAAAACAAAACAAAGAATCTCTCATATGAGTATTCACAGCCTAGCCTGCAGATCAGAAGTGATCCGAGGTGCACACTGTTTTCACTGATCATCCTTAAGATGATTCTAAAGTTTAGATTGAGTCCACCTGTTGTAAATTCATTTAATTGGACATAGTGGAATACACAAATCAATCTTTATAAGGTCTGACATTTGGAATTAATGTCATAATCAAAACACCAAACATGAATTTAATGGAATTTTCTTTTGACCTCAGGGACAGGATTTTCCTGAAGCAGATATATGTGGAATTAAATGGAAATAAAAGGTCCCATTGAGCACAGTGGCCTCCATCACTAATAACTGAAAGATATGTGATGTCTCCAAGACCAATACAGAATCACTTCCAACTCATCAAATACTGACGCTTTGTCAAGTCCCCGTCACGCGATGGAGATACCTCTCTCTCGGTATATATATTGACAAACAGGCCAAATTACAAGTTGCGGACATTGTATCAAGTGACACACATGTGACCCATGACAAAAATGATTGTTAGTTGCTTTGGGATTGTATGGTAACATTTGTATGTTTAGGGGTTACGAAACAGGTCAGGAAAAGTCTGGTTCTGCTGGAGGAATTCTTCCTGTTAAAAGGGAGTTTTTTTCTCCTCACTGTCACTATAAGCATGCTTGGTATGAGGGATTGCCTTCAAGTCAATGGGTTGATGCAATCAACTGGTTTTCCTTAGATAAAAAACTGAATTAATTAGACTTTATAATCTAGTTGAATTGTCTCAGTAAAGTGCCTTGAGATGTGTTAAATATTAATATTAATAATTATCATTGAAGATGTGTGAGTTTATTACACCTTGGTATTTGCTGCCTGTTGCGTGTTTTAATCTAATTAGGGCAGTTCCTCTGCCTGGATATACGGTTAAAATCTTCATTCTGTATGTGGCAAATATTTGGAAATGGAATGGGAGCGGCGTCCTTCAGCTAAGAACAAAGTGTAATATTTCGATAAGGCTGGAGCCATGGATGTCTAATCATCTGCTAACGTGTATGATGTAAAAATAAGATGAAGTGGCAGACTGGAGATGTATAAAATGCCTTTTTAACTGTTAATCTGGGCCACTTCCTGAGAGGTGAGCCCGGAGGTGAGGAGCTACCTTCTGTATATTCTAAGCAAGTTCTATGATCTGACTAAGATTACAATTTCTATCAGAATCTGTTGCCATGTCTCTTTTTTATTACATATAAGTAATAAAGAGAGAGATTTAAAGAGTTTGTCCTGAGTGTGCTCCTTTGAGGAAAAAGATCCGCTTCAAGATGCATACAAAGAGCCTATCTTTACAGATGGCATGTGTTGTGAATTTGCGCTATATGAATAAACTGAATTGAAACTCAATTGGATGAAGGTTTTTACTTTACAGTTCATGGAAACTGTTTGAAAGCTCCTACCACAATAATGCCAGCTGATTTAAACGTTTGATTATCTTCTGCATATTTCCCATAATCTTCAAAGGTCTGGTAACCTCAGAAGGGTTGTTGTAAGCCAACACTTGAAGATTAATACCGGTATTTGATAACATAATCGTAGACACCTTGGCTGAAACAGCAACATTTTATTAAAATCTATATTTGTATCTCAAGCTTAGAATCATAAAACAACAAAAAAAATAAAATAAAATAAATAGTGTTTCAACATAAGCTGCAGTAAAAGCCCAATGGCTTGTTGGTATAGATGTATTGAGATATCAAGTAATGCAATAATAATTTTGGTAATTAAAACTACCTGCTGTAATTAAAAAAATGTAAGACATGTATGTATTCATCCAATTTAGTTATTTTTCTTAAATTGCTCTTGAATGGTCTGTGACAATGTATTGTTGTAGTGGAGAAATCCATCTTTTTTCTTTTGTTAGTTATGCAAACATTCCTGATGGCATGACAACCAACTATCTTCCTAGACAGACACTCTTTATGGTTCATCCTAGAAACCAGATGGATGTGAAAGAATGTGTAGTTGATCAGCCTCTGTGTTATTTTTTCCTTCACAGGTTCAATGATAAAGTCAAGCACATTAAGATTTTGACCAAGGATGGATGTTTTTACATCGCTGAGAGTCGGCTATTCAAGAGCGTGCTGGTAAAGGTCTTACTTTGTAGTTTTTTTTTTTTTGGCCTCTCAGAACTCTGTAGCATTGATAGCTAAAACCGTTTGAACATCACTTTTGCTGTTAACTACTGAGGCGTATACATCAGTTATACAGTCAGACATGTTTCCTTTTCCCAGCTGTTTTTACCTTTTTGTATTTATGCTGAAAAAGAGCAGGTAAAACATGCCATTATCAAACACCTCATTCTTATAATATCAACAAATTACATAAATAAAACTGAAAAACTATATTATCACTGGTCAACATAAATATATTTGAAAAGGTAGATAAACAGGATGTTTCTAACTAAGTATAAACTACCATTAATATTACTCAGACCACTCCAAAATATTTTATTTCTTCTTCTTTTACTCATGCTCATACAGGAATTGGTGGAGTACTATAAACAACACTCTCTGAAAGAAGGTTTCAGCAGCCTTGACACCACTCTGCAGATTCCTTACCGAGAACTGACCAATGGAAACATGCCTAAAGCAATTAACAAGGTTTTCAACGGTGAGTCGGCTTCACAAACATCCAGACAGAAAGTTTCCTATCTGAATCTTTCTGCCTGACAGTTGGAAACACAGCAGTGTTAGATCATATATAGAGTCAGTTATGTAAGAGATTCACAGCAAAGCTTTTGTTTTGACCTGAATTAAAGATGAGCATATGTGGCTTTACTATATTTAAAGAAAAACAATGAATTATTTTTTGGAAGGCTGTCCTGCCAAATGTGCTTACCAGGCACAGCCAGGGGTGTATTTTTTTTCATGTCAGTATGTCATAGAACAAAGTGTTTTCCTGAAGATTCTAGTTTTAGTCTCATTGACAAACTGCCTTGATTCTCTTTATTTATTTATTATATCTTTTACTGTGCTTTGAGTACAAAAAGTGTGATGGCAGTGTCCACTTGTATATTAGGAGTCTGGTTAAAAAAAATGAGTAAACTGAAACCTTTTTGTAATTTGTTTTTCATATGTAGGTGGATAGACCTGAGGTTAATTATGCTGTTAAAAGTAGCACTAATCTGTGAATCACTAAAGCAACATGTATTTTCAGCTGTTGTTTCTGAGAACTCCTTCACAGTTGTGGCACATCAAGTCGACCTACTTGTAACACATACGATCGGATATTTCAGTCCAGGGTGATTAGACTACATTCCACAATCCCTCTTCATTTTTCTGGTTTTGCCATGGGAACAGCACTCTTTTTCACTAAATAAAGAGGCTATGCTTCTACTGGTTGGTTGGGATTGCCTTTTAAAAAAATAATTTTAAGGATTCTTCTTTGTCTACATAAGGCATTATTACTTATTCAAGCGTTACGTATTCAAACAGATTTATCATCATTTGAATGTCATAAATTTCCCAGAATTTCTAACATTAAGAACAACACTTGTCACTAGTGGGGGCTTTATTGGGGTACACTCCCTACATCCAAATCTATGAAAGTACTTTAAACCTTAAATCTTTCAAATTGTATTTTATTATACAACCACATTAAAGACATTTATCATTTCAGGTTTGTCTATGAATGAAACAGTCCTGTTTTATGTACATCTCAGAGAGTCCTTGGCCCACTTTCACTCATGGTTACTTTTTGGATTCTCTTGGAACTGATTTTTTGTCATTTTGACTGTTCCTCAATCGACCCAAATGTTTTTTGTAACCCTTTCTTTCACACTTAATTGAGATCATTTCAACTCAGCTGCCTTTTATTTTCTTAACTACTTATTTAGTTTCGCCTCGCTAGTCAATATTGAAATTTAAATATGCTGTTCTTTTAGCAACGTTACCAAGTTTTGTCAGAGTTCTAGAGATCAACACAATATAATCAATATTATTTGCTTTCGCTCCTGTTTAAAAGGCACCTTTTTGTTGATTTTTCATAGATGACTTCAGGAAATTAACTCCATGCAGCATGCATAGTGTATAATTGTTGGGTCTGGTGGTGTTTTGTTATCCTACTATACCTATTCCTACCCCTATTAAACAGTAAATCATCTGTCTACAATTGTAATTCCAAAAAAAAAGAAAAAAAAAAAAGATTGTATTTATGTTGGACTGTTTTTTATATTTTCCACATGTGTTGCTATTTCTTTTATGCATGTTAAAAATATTTTATTGCTTTAAACACACATTTGTGAGTATAAAGATTGAGTAAATAAGAGAATTAGCTCAAAACAATGCAGTGCGTCTAAAACATCTATTACATAAATAAAAAGGAGCCTCTGCGGCTCACTGGCCTTGGCAGGGAGGTCCCAGTTAGAGCTGAGTGCCTCAGGCAACCACCAAGAGCTTGCTACTCCAAAACGTCACACCCTGAACTCTGCTTAGCTGTGAGATGGCTTCACAATCTTACAGACAGGACATGACATTTCACTTGGGCTGACTGCAATAATAAAGAAATGGCCTTCTGACATACACCTGAGCGTGAACCCTCAGTCCATCCGAGGGACCTCGGCATCTTCCACTAAACTGGGAAAAGTTTCCAAATATGATCAAATCTGAAAGAGCAGAAGGTAGATGGAAGTAAACCAGCTTAACTTAAGGAGAGAGGAATGTGTAAACAACCATGAGCCGAGGCGATGAGCGTTGGAACAAAGGTAGTGTTGGCCCTTTGTGTGTGTTTGGATGTAATATTCTGCTGCATCCTCGTCCCTTTGCCTCTTTTGGCAGAGTCGGTCTCAGAGCGCATGAAGCGTCAAAGCGCCTCTGTAAGAGGTGCTTTTGTATTCTGCTGCCACTCACAGCACTACCTTCTCTCAAGAAACCTTGACAGAGCCACGGCTGCCTCTGTACTTTGTGGGATGGATTATTATTGCCTTTAGTCGTCCACCCCCGTAGACAAACTAGTGTGGGCACTGTATTCTCCGTCAGGTAAACAGCCTCTGTGGAAAGATAGATGTCATGCAAAAGAAAAATAGATATAATAAAAAGATTTTAATCCGAAAAGAAGGTGCTGTATAGCAATGAAAAGAGAAAAATGCATGCCCAGTATACAGAGATTTAGAATTTGCAGTAAAGCTAATAGAGATATATGTGTGGTGTGTGTGTTAATGCTGAAGTAAGGAAATTATTTGCTGTGTAATGATAAGTTAATATCTGTCAGCAAAATCTAGATTTCAGCTTCATTTGATCCAAACACCTTATTCCACATTTATGTCTGTCATCCATCTGTCACCACTTATCTTCTTCCTTACACTCTTCCATAAAGCTCACATCTTCACACTCGCCTCAGATTCTCCCACCTGAGCTTGGATCTTTGCAATTCATCCAGAGTCATCCATCCATGAGCCTTTTTTCGCCATTTCTTTGATGAGGGCTGTCCAGATAGGTTTGTGTTTGTGTCATACTATCCATTTTAAGATCATGGATTGAATATATACGACTGGACTTGTGATCTATATGATGAGAAAACAAAAGTGATTTGTAAAGAGCAGTATTAGGGGGTCATTTACACAAAAAAACCTTTGATATCTCCGATGCTATAGATTCTTGTCTTGCTTCACTACTGGACCACAGTCATTAGGTTGGCTTTTCTGGATATAAACGTAAAGGATTGTTAAACCCAATAGATTATCCAGAATTTCCGGGCAGTCTCCAGTAAATCATCAGTCAATAGTTTCCTTTAATATTTACATGTGCTGTGTAAAATAACAATTTTGTCCAATGGCTTCACTGTTTTGCCCACTTCTCTTACAGCACTTCAGCAGTATTTTCTTCTTCCTTGTTTGTTTTTTTGTTCTGACTTTGACAACTTTTCTGCGTTCTCTCTCCTCTCTCCACCATCTCACACATCCTCTTTCTGTCAAACTTGTGTTTACTTTGCTTATGTTTTCTCTCTTTGCTCCCACTACGGACACCTCCCGCGTCCCCACCCTCCCCCGCACACACTTCCACCTCCATTTCTTGTTTTGTTTCTCAGTAGTTCCTCCTGGCGGCTGCAGCTTTGTTCCTCCCTCCTCCTCGCCTTTCTGGTCAGGTATAGGTGCAGATTTTCTGCTCTCCTTTTTCTCTTTCTAGCTGTATGCCCATATTTTTGAGTGTTTGAAGCAGAGTTGTTTCAATTTATTTATTAATAAGCAATGTAAAATATTACTGAAAGAAATACAACATAATCGAGAAGTGTATTTACTTTAGTAATTCAATTTAAAGTGTACAAATTCATTACCTACGTAGTGATTTTGTTTATTTTTAACTACGACATGTAGCAATCAAAATTTCTAAACTTAACCTTCTCAGAAAGGTTAACCTAAACTATAACAACACTAATATAGAGATTTATTTGAAGAATGATACGGCCAACAAAACAACAGGGAAACAAGAGACAGTAATTGTTACCTTAAGAGGTAAACCAAAAAATGTCATTGGTACATAAGACTGAATCTTTATAGTGTGATTTATGCAAACATGTGGATAAAAAATTCAGTATAAGAATGAAGTATTTTTGAAAAACTTGCACAAACAACTGAAATAGCTGAAACCACAGAGCTGGGGATGTTATCTTCAACAGCCACCACATATAAAGTTACCCAGGATATGGCAGACAACTTTAACAGTCCTTGCATTAATCCACACCTGAACGAATGATAACATGAAAAGACTTTAAACTTGTTGCCTCTCTACTCTTCCTTTTGTGTGTAAAATATAGATTTCTAGTTGAATATAAAATATTCTCTGGAAATATTTTAAACCACCATACAGAGGTCAAATCCTTATCATATACAGTTCTGGCTTCTGAGACGAAATTCTATAGTTACAGCTTATAATCTGGATCCAATTGTTTGGTGGTCACAAATATCCACATTGTTTGTTAACCTTTTCTGCCATACTCATAGTTTGTATTATCAGTACAATACAATCAAGATAAATTTAACCATCTTAAAATGTGAATTTAGACATTCTGGATTTCTGGTAGATTAAACAGTCTTATCCCTTGATGGTTGTCTTTAGAATTAAATGGGTAAAAGAAATTCAATGACATAAATGCACTTTTAATGTTAACTGATCGATGATATGTGGCACAATGAAAACAGGTAGAATTAGATTTGAATGTAAATCATGTTGGGAACCATCCAGGAATAATGAAGAAATAGCCATAGTGGAAGCAGCAGGGAAATATTTTTCATTTTCAAACTGCTGATATGATGTAAGTGCTTGGTAATACTGAATATATTACAGTGTGAGTTTTATTTGTTACTTGGTGAGCATGAATACCATATGGTGACATGTATATATATTTGTTTACAAGAACACCTGGCGTTGTATGTTGTGCCTTTGTGGGCACTTGGGAGCAGATACACTCCTTTCATCCAGTGTATCTTCACAGCTCTGTCATCTGTATTTTTACTGATAAGGCAGACAAACCTTTCTACGCCTGGGTTCACTTGTGATATGAGCCCTGACCTGGATGTGTGTGGAATAATATTGTATACCCTGATAAGTGAGGATGCATTGCATGAACTGGATTTAGGATTCACTTTTAATAACTTCAGCACCTAGCCACGATAACCCGACCTCTGATCTTACCCTATGCAGTGGACCTCGTCAGACTTGATTGGTAAAGTTGCTCTCCCCTCAAACCACCAAACCTGAACTTTACTGTTGTTTGTTTGACTTTTAATTTCCCTCTACTTCTAGGATGACTTGAGTCAGTGAGTATTATTAGTACGCGTGTCTGATTCTAGCTTTTAGTCTACAAACATTTGAACTTTTATGGTTGTACTCTATGTAAAAGTAAAACAGGATTTAAAAAAAATAAATTACTGTTAAAATAATTTGGCCTTTCTGCGTCTCAGTTTTTTCTCCTAGGGTAGTTGGTATTGCAGTGGCACGTTACGACTTCAGCTCTAGAGATACCCGAGAGCTGTCTCTACAGCAGGGAGACATTATTAGGATCTACACCAAGATGTCCAATGGTTGGTGGAGGGGAGAGGTCGACGGCCAGGTTAGAATTTTTGTTGCTTTCAAATCAAAGTTTTGGTTTTGTGGCTCTTTTTTCTTTTGCTTTTTTTTTTATTTATCAGAGCTGATAGGAATTTAATATTTTCTTTTCATTTCATTTTTTTTTAGCCATTCTAATAAATCTTATGAGTGAAAGGTATTATGTAAAAGTTAGGGTGAAGTGTCTAGTTTTTACAGGAATGAGCAGATTCTTGAATGAGATAGAGTAAAAAAACCTTATCTTCAGTATGCTACCTGCACCATTAGACTAGAGAAATGTATATTTTCGCTAAATCTTATGTATGCATCTTATTTATAAAAATAAAATATATGTCCAAAACAAAAAAACTGTAACACAGCTATCATAAATTAAAGTAAAAAATAACGGTATTGTAATGATCTCGGAATGTTGGACCCAGAATTCGGCGAGACAGGCAGTCGAAAAGTTCAAAGCATTTATTTAAAACAAACAGGAGAGCGGGGCGGCTCATCAGCTGTGGGGCGGATCTCTGCAGAGATATGAGATACAGTTCAGTGACTGGATTGTTGGGCTCTATCACGACTTTGAGCAAAGTCACTGACCTGATTCAAAGTTTAGTCCGTTCTAGAGGAAAATAGTTGAATCTAAATGGGAGGTTAATCCCCAGTTTGTGGTGGGCACCGCCCCCAGAGTTTCTAGAGAGAGAGCGGAGCAGGCGCTAGCCGACGCCGAGCAGCAACAGTGTACTTGAGGGAGAAATCCAAAGCCGGAGTCAGAAGACAGGTCCAGGTTCAGAAGCCAGTAGAATCCAGGAATCAGTCCACAACAGATCAGACAAACAGAGCAGGCAGGGGCAAGGCAAAACCCTGGATCCACAGGGCAGAAACAGGTCACAATCCGGAAAACAGAACAGACTTCAGAAAGCTAGAGTTAGTCTCACCAAAACGCTCGAATAACCTGGTGCTGTTGGAAGGCAAGCACACAACATAAATAGGAAAGGATCCAGGTGGAAATGACCAGTGTTAATTAGCTGCAGAACCAATTAGACAGGGGAGCAAGGAGCAAAAAAACAAAAACAAACCATCAGCGGCAAGATCATGACAGAACCCCCCCTTCAATGGTGGATTCCAGAAGCCCCAACGGGCTGATCAGGGTGATCCCCATAGAAGACCCTAATAAGGTCCTTATGCCGTAATCCAGGAGCTCTCCTTGGGTCCTTAACCTTCCCAGTCTACCAAATACTGGAGCCCCCTGCTTGTCCTCCTAGACCCTCTCTGAATCGGGTGGGTGGAGGTGAACAGAAGGGAAAAAGGACTCCCCTATCCCCATAAAAAAAAATCCACCAGACCCCACTCAGGAGAAAGGGGAGAAAAGTCATCCGGATCAGGCTCCGGGGGTGCTGGGGCTGTGGTTACTGGAGGATCTGGGGTTCTGGAAGTAACCACATTAGTCTTTGGTAACAGAAGAGCTGAGGAGGCAGAGAGTCTGGTACGTCCCAGCCTACGGTAGTTATACGCCTTGCAGGACAAGACCTCAGTAAATGTCCATTACCGACGTTAATCAGCTGCAGAACCAATTAGACAGGGGAGCAAGGAGCAAAGGTAAAAAACCAAACCATCAGCGCTCATGAGATCATGACAGGTATACTCTCTGGTTAGACTGAAAATATACATTTCAATATACATTTCTCCATAAGGACAAAAAAAACCAATGGCCTAGTTAGCTACTATGACTTAAAAGTTTTCATGCTATTAGCTCAGTCTGGTTGCATATAAATGCTTCCTGATTAAATTTTAGTGACCTTTAGTCTTATCACATTTTACTTCTGTTTCATACTTTGCTTTTGGCCTATTCTTTATTAAATGTAAGCAATTTTAGTATTTACCATATTAGGACAACATGACCAGAGGTATAGTGTTTTGCATGTGTGCCATGAGCAAACAAGAGTATTTTTTAATAGAAGGTGTTGAAATAAAGAGGAAAGGTCCAGATCAAGTGCGAAAAAGCATAAAAAATATAGGATGCTTAGGGAAATAAGACAGGAGTATAGCTCTGAATACAGTATAAATAATGGTGTTAAACAATGTGGAACCTAAAGCTGCATTTATACGGAAACAGCATTGAGCGTTAAAAAGGTGTCTAATGCCGCATCAAGACAGACATGCGTCGAGGGCATCAAAAACGTTCTGGAAACGCATTGAGCAAAGTGTGAACAAAAACACATCTGACATGCGTTGCTGGTTTTTTGTGTACAGTGGAAGATGCAGTGGAGAGAGTGACTTTGCTTAATTTGCTGTGATGAATAGGAAAAAAAAGTAATATTTTTTTTAAATGAAAAAAATACACTTCAAAACATCATCTTTGCAGTCAGTTTTTGAGGACTATACCTACTGTTAGTATTCTGTAGACGGTCCCAGCAGTTGAGACCTACATACCGGTTTCAGTTCATACAACAACATATACAGAGTCCAACAAGAGCAGTGGATGCTCAGTGATTCGGTTCACATCACACAATAAAGTTCAACATGATTCTTCTGGAATATATACATATCAAACCACCCCCGCACCCTTCACCGCCCTGGTCTAACTCTTACTCAGTTCAACTCCCTCGCTCCTTCTGGTCTCCTGCCAGTATCCAGATCCGGCAGGGAGTCATCTTCATTCATAAATCTGCCTATACTATCATCATCATCAGCGGTGCTCAGCTCTATGTCTTCTGCCGGTGTATGAGCACAAAAATACATTTATATTAATTCATGTCAATACACTCTCTTATTGCCTCCTTGTGAGTCTCCCCAAGTCTAAATAATAGTTAGAGAAATTGAATTTATCAGTGATGTTACAGAGACATCAACCGTCCTGTTTATTTTGTTGCTGTGTGACATGATTGCTTGTTAATTTGCATGTAGCTGGATGAATGTGAACTGATTGCTCAGGACAAATTTTAATAACTGGTGTGGATTATCATTGTGAGTCTGTCAACTTACATCACGACTGGTCGGAAAACTCTGATTTATTAATTTCTTCTGTTATATATTGATTTATGCTAATTACTTAATGAAAAGTTTGTTTTTACTCCTAAGATGGCCTAAGATGCATTGATAAAATTATTGATTTAGTTTTTCCAAATGGCAATCTGAGGTTTAGTCCATAAAAAGATTAATTTTTTTAAGTGTTTAAAATGTTTTCTTTGTTTTGGATAAATAACTGTAAGTTTTTTTTTTACACAAAAACTAAAACTTTTCTGGGATTTTGTATATTCCTAGCTGCTACTTAGGAGTTTTCTGTTCTGCTTTTTTTTTAGGTGGGTTGGTTTCCCTCAACTTATGTGGATGAAGAAGACTAGCTGCACACAACAAGAAGGAAACCGGTGACATGCAATCACTGCCACCCTTTGTACCTATACTTAGATCTTTCTGATAAAACAGGAACATGAGATGAAGTGGCTCTACCCTTTAAAATCATCCACTGGTTGCTGACAGACTCTCACAAGAAGAGGAGCAGGGGGTTTAAAAAAAAAAACGGGGTTCCAAAGGTGTCATGCAGTGTTGTGGTTCTGTCTGTCATCTCGGTTCCCTCTCACCTTCTCTTATAATTGATGATTGCTTTGGCTGGGGTAACACATGCCCTGTTGTCATCATGTTTCAACATCTGGACAGCTCAGTCATCTAGTCAAAGCGTAGATCCTGCTGACAGTGCACTGCCCAGGTACTTCCATCGAGGGAATATTAGGTGCTCCAACTCAGATTTTGCTATCCTTGACTCTTTGAGTGATGCTTTTTTTAAATAATGTAAAAAGGTTTCAGCATTACTACTTGATGGACTAAGTGTGACTTAGAGGGGAAGAACGCCTGTTTGGAAAAAGAAGCTCATAAAAAAAGGTGAAAACCCACCCCATGTGAGGCTATGGGTATATATTTCAGTTTTATTGTAATTTCATTTCCCTTTGGGATTAATAAAGTATTTTTTAATTTTAATTGTTTTTTTTCCCTTCATTTTTTCTATTTAATTGCCCTTATAAAACATAGACCTAAATAACATATTTTCAAGCATGTGTAACTGTGTTTTATTTTTCAATCAAACTTTCACATTCCTCTAATGTGCATGGTTTCTGTTTTGATAACATAATTTATAATATTTTTAATAATGGGTTTTAAATCTTCCCCAAGGACATGTTTAAGGATTAGAGGACAATGACACACCTTTCTCTCACAATTTGCTTAATCTCTTACATATGGGACACAGGTAAAAGGTTTAACAAAATGTCATCTTAGATGCTTGTATTAAAAAAAAGCAATGATGCATCAAAACAAAGACAAAATAAAACCAAATAAATGGGCAAAAAAATCTCTACCACACTCTGAGCGTTCACTGTGGAAAACAGTTCTTTGCAGTCCAAACATTTTAATGTTAACTTCAATCCATTTTACTGTGAAAATGAATGATCCAATGCTGATGTAATAGTTGTCCACTGTAGAGCAAGGTAACACAAGGGCACCAGTGATGAGTTATCTTTCAAAGGCCAACACCCCGCTAATCATGAGTGTATTATCAATATTTAATACAACATTTTAATTTTACTTTTGACATTAGCACACTTTGAGAAAAACCCCCCGAATGTATTGCATTTACAATAGCATTGCAGGTATATCACAAACAGCTATGTTGGAGAGCAGTAGGACAGAGTTCTCAAATACACCTAAAAAAGCAGAAAAGACAGACATCTGAAATATGCCATAGGGAGGACGATGCTGCATAGTGTAGTTCCCCTTTCTTATTTGTGGAACCATTATTTTAATTAAGCTATTTAAAAGCTGGGAAATTATGCATCTTAATAAATCAAAATGTCTTCAAAAACAGTATCAGTAATTTAATTCTTAAAATTAAAAACTATTATGTTTATACATTACTCACATAGCGTCATACGGCTTACCTCTGGTTTGGCGTTTTTTTTGGGGGGTTGCTGCTTCCCACTCTGCTCTGCTCCACTCTGTTATTTAAAGTGAGAAAAAATACCAGTCTTTCTGCTAATCACCCTAATTCCTCCCAAATGTTTTCCTGCCTATTAATACCTGCCTCTCACAGTCAATCTCTGTCAGATAGTTTTCTTGCCTGCAGTTCCAGTACTCGTGTTCACTCCCTGCCCTCCTGTGCTTGCCTTGCTCTCATTCACCACCTGGACTGCCACTGCCTGTAACCACCCTATTCAGTCTGCAACCATCCTGTTCTGTTCATCATATCTGCATCTCTATATAGATCTTTTAGGCGAAACATTCAGACTTAATTCTTTAAAAAAATACCAATTGACTGCATCTTCACAAATATATACAGTGAGGAAAATAAGTATTTGAACAGCCCACTATTTACCCACTTAAAAATAATGGAGGGGTCTGAAATTGTCGTCATAGGTGCATGTTCACTGTGAGAGACATAATCTAAAAAAAATCCCAAAATCATATATAGGTTTTTAACAATTAATTGGTATGATACAGCTGCAAATACTTATTTGAACACCTTTTTATCAGCTATAATTTTGACCCACAAATACCTGTTAGTCTGCTTTCAAAATGTCCACCTCCACTCCGTTTATTATCCTAAATTAGATGCACCTGTTTAAGCTCGTTACCTGCACAGAGACACCTGCCCAACCCATACAATTAGCAAGAATCCAACTACTACTATGCCCAAGACCAAAGGGTTGTCCAAAGACACTATAGACAAAATTGTACACCTCCACAAGGCTGTGTGAATTGCCAAGCAGCTTGGTGAAAAAAGGTCCACAGTTGGAGCAATCGTTATAAAATGGAAGAAGCTAAACATGAGTGTCAATCCAAATCAAAGAAGAGCTGCAGATCGGGTAACTTTCTCCATTTTAACATTTCTGACTACCTTGGTGTCCTGCAGAAAACGTAATACTTGTTAAGGAATAGCCACGCTTCTTGTGTATCCACGTCTGTAGAGGCCATACTCAACATTACTCTCTGCATCACCTGGCTGCAGACACTCACTATAAGGAAATCTTTTATTCACTTTACAAGCAGACCGATGCCCTTCATTTGGTTTCCTGTTTTTATTATCTTTAGAAAAATCTTTATCCATCGGCATCTCATCATCCCCCTCCAGAGAACATCCTATCTGAACTGCTTTAGTCTGTGTGTTGATGCTGTCAGCATGTGACTGCTCACTGACTTCTACTACTGAACCAGAAAAAGCAGCATGAGAACCAACAACACCAAAACCTCTGGTATCCAGACTAGGAACCCCAAAGTCATCAGGAAGTGAGAGGGCAGAAACTAAAACTTCAGCAGCTGAAAAATCAACTAATATAAACTAAAATAGTGTAATCAAAGTCATCCACTGCAAAATTCAGCACTAAATTTACCTTGTCAGCGTTATTTTTGAAAACCATTAAGACCTGCCTTCTAAAGGAAACATGTTTAAGGTTGCATTGATTTACAGCCCAAAGGAATCAGTTAAACATTTTGTGACATTAGCTGACTATGCCTGGCCAGCTTTCTTTGTACCTTTTTAATACTAATTAATGGAGGAACTTGGGACCAGGGGATCTTTTTGGCCAGATTAACTAGCAGCACCACCTGAACAAAGGTGCTCTGAGTTACCACACCTTGCTCAACAACCATGTTGAGTTTGTCAACAGAAAGATGATGATTCCATTGTTCATTCTTGGAGCAGACTTCATACTTTCACAGCCAACAATTTGTTTGATTGCTAAACAGCAATCTTCCATGAAACAATTAAAACGTGGACCAAGTTTACCTCTGTGTCATAGTGTGAGCTTCTCCAACCCCACATTACCAACTAGGGCTGGGCGATAATTCAATAACAATATATATCGATCGATAGACGTGTGGCGCAATAGAAAAAAAGAGGGTCGATAAAAGTTTGATAAAAAAGAAACGCAGTTTTCCTTCCTTCTCATTGTAGCCTAGCATGTAGGTTTATGCTAGTCACTACTTCCTCCCAACCAATCACAATCGCGGACCCAGGCATGCCGTCACCAAGCGCCGCCCTCTCAAACCAGAACACAGAGCACATGAAGATGCAGCAAGGAGAGGCAGAGGAAATTGTTTCAAAAAAGGGTTTTTGTAGTTCGGCAGTCTGGCAGTATTTCGGTCATGGCAAGTCGGACCAAAAACAAACCACAGTCATCTGGAAAATGTGTCGGGAACCAGTGAAAACGAAGTCTGATAACGCAACCAACTTTTTTTTTTTATTTTTATTTTTTTATCGTCTCTCTCAGCCGCTCACACCCGCAGGAGTACGAGCTGTGTAGGCCCCGACGCGGCTCTCCTCCGAGGAATCTTCGGAAAATATATATATACTTCAGTTCTGGGCAGTTTCCCACGTAGTTCTAACAATTGAGAGAAAAATGCTGAGGGGCCAGAAACTTCAAAGTAATAACTCAGGTTAAAGCAGGAAACGGGGGCGGCGGCGGCGGGGCATTTATTTATTTGTTATATTTATTTTGGTCACTTTAGTTTATTCTTTGTCAGTATTTAATAACATAACTCGGGTCTCTTAAGTTATTTTAATTTAAAACAATTCTGTTATGGTTAAAAAAGTTGGTTAAATAAAGATTTAATTCGAAGTCTGTGTTTGTGTTTTTTATTAAAATTAAATCATTTAGCAATATTATAAAAGTCAAGGCAGAGCTGCACATAAAATATGGTTTCAAATCTTTTCAATAATTATCGATATCGATCAATATGCATTTTTTTTTATCGATAAGCTTTTTTTTCTATATCGCCCAGCCCTATTACCAACTTCATGGGCCGACATGACCGCGGTGAAAACCAGGAGTCCCCGTTTAGGAAACCAGCTGCAACAAATCACACTATCAGCAAAACCAAAAATAAACAAACAAAAAATAAAAAACGTAGAAAATACACTCACACTGAATTGTGTAAGTGAGAGAGAGGATTAATTGGATGTAAAAAAAAACAAAACTTTTTTTCCACAACAGAACAGCATAACAAACTAAGGTACTAAATGCAAAGAATATATTTTTCAAACAAGGCAATCACTTTAAAAAAAAACTGATTAGTATAGGCAAATTGATTAAATAAGGCAAGACCTAAAGATCATTATAATATAATATGGAAATACCCGAAGATCTTAACACAAAATAAAAATAAAAAACAACCTAGAAATTGTGACACAAAAGACAGAGATAAAAGTAAAGTTAGACACATTATGTCTTCAAAACTAAGTATAACTGGAGATGACAGTTTCCTCACATCCCTGTCCTCTCTGACCACTTTTTAGTTACCATTAAGGAATTAATGGTAACTAAACCTCCTCCATTATAGATGTGACTAATCTATCCCTTTTACAGGAATACCTCAGTCTTTTAAAGTATCTGTAATTAAACCTTTACTGTACTTGAGCAATCATCTCTTGATTAAGACGACTTTGTCATTTATAGACCTACTCTACATCAAGTCTTCCTTTCTTATCTAAAATACTTAACAGAATAGTTGCTAAATGTATGTGACCACTTACACCAAATAAACTTTTTGAAGAGTTTCAATCAGCTCATCATAGCACTGAAAAAACTGGTGAAAGTCACAATGATGTTCTCATAGCCTCAGATACTAGACTTATATCTGTACTTTTCCTGTCAGATTTCAGTGCAGCATTTGATACAGCTGATCAAATATTCTTTTAGAAAGACTTGAATATTTTCTAGGAATTAAGGGGACAGCAGTAGGCTGGTTTAAATCTTAATTATCTGACAGATTTAATTTTGTTCACTTTAATGATAAATCTTCTTCATGCTCCAGGGTTACGTCTAGGGTGCCACAGGGATCAGTGCTAGGACCAGTTCTCTTTACTCCATAGCTTTTTTTACTTCAAGGCTTCATTTTTTTATTATTTTCAGGATGCCCACAAACTGTAGCTAAAAGCCTTTGGCTGATCCAAAACGAATGGGGCCTTCCTGTATGTCTGCTTCTGTCTCCTGGAACCCCAGTCGGCCTCGGCAGATGGCCGCTCACACTGAGCCTAGTTCTGCTGGCGGTTTTCCTCTGGTTAAAAGGGAGTTTTCCTTTCCACTGTCGCTAAAAGTATGCTTGGTGTGAGTGATTGGTGTCGAGTCAATGAGTCGATTGAATCGGCTGCTTTTCCTTAGATAGAAAACTTTGTACCAGTCTGACTGTATGATCTGCTTGAATTGTCTTTGTAAAGTGCCTTGAGATGACCTGTGGTGTGAATTTGGTCTATAGAAATCAACAGAATTGTAATTAATTGTATCCTGTTTTGAGTACAACTGAGAGTAAAGTCCAACACTGTAACTTTTTAGCCTGACGTAGTCCTACTCAATTCTAGTCAGAATATGAGTCTGATACTGCTCCATAGAGCTGTGATTATGGGGCGTGTTTTGAACGGACCAGGAAAAAAAATGCCTCTGAACTCAATTTGATAGACCTACAACCAATAAGAGCAACGGAGTGCGTGACGTTTGTTAAGCGAGGCATAGTTGTTGTCAACAAAAATCAAAGCGTGCAGTTGCACGCCTAGAATAAGAAGATGAGCCTTGATCGCGTTTCTCTGTTCCTCTTTTAAAATTAATTTGCTGTCGATATCTTCTAGAACAGACCTAATAGCAGAATCTACTCACCTCAACTCTCCAGCGGCAGCCATTGTTGTTGTCGCCCAAGCGCGCTTTGGTCACGTGGTTGATTACATTACTGTTGATCATCTGTCCATCATCGTATAAAGCCCGCCCTGACAATTTGATTGGATCGCCAGAGGGTGGGCGATCATACTCGCGCTACTATGGAGCAGAGCCAGACCAAACTTCCCGACCTCAAACCTTGTGGGCGGGACTAAGTTCGGAATGGCACCCAGGCTAGTAACTTTTAAAACACTGCTGAAATAAAACTGTAAAGTAAAAAAAAGAAATTGATCAAATGTACAAATCAGTCTTGTATATCATCATTAAAAATGTGTCTAGTATTAATTCCTTAGTACAGGGGACAAAAGAAGGGCCAGGACAGGTTCTACTGGCGCACTGGTCACTCCTGGCCCCTATCTAGAACTATCCATGTATGGAGAGCTTCATGATGACAAGACTTAAGGATATGCTGTATTCATATTGGTAATGCTGTGTATACTCATTTAACTTTGATTTTATTCCAGTGCTGTACTTGTATAGTCTAAAAACTTTCTTTATGGCAGAGGCTTTCATAAATAAAAAAGGCATAAGGCAAAGTCATAAATTCAATTCATCAGTATAACTAACTCTCTTTTGTTTGTTTTTTTAGTAGAGAGACTGAAACTTCTCAGGATTATTGTTCTTGTAATGTTTACTGCCCCTCAGGTGTATGTTTCACTCTTCTCTTCTACTACCTTCCTAATGACCACACTCTGCAGAGGGAGCTCCGTTGTGCCGTAACATTAAAAGCTGTCATTACAGGGAATAAGATTGGCTCATCTTGTACTTTTTCCTAAATCTCTGTTTCTGTCTTAACCAAAGAAGAGGATAGACTATAATAAAGATCTTTAAGATAAACGGCTTTATAAGTTTGCATGAACAGTGTTCATCAGAAGAGATGCTTTTGTAAACGAATGTATTTAAAATAGATAAAAGCAAAGGAGAGAAAGGTGGTCTGGCATCTTTTTCATCTCTCTGAATTATATTCTTAGCATCAGTCTCTGTCAGTCATACCCCTGAATCTTTGCACAGATATTAAAAAGGGATTTAAAGCAAACTGAAGCTGCCCTTAAATACTCTTTCTCCTCCCATAGAGCTTGCTTTTGGAAAAACATAACTTTCATATTTATATTCAACTGCTGACTTGTGAACACCAGTCACTTTGCTAAATCTGAAAAGCAAATCTGAAAATCAAAAATATTGTATTAAGGTTATACGGTTAAATGCTTGAATAACACATGTACTTCCTAGTGACCTGTATACTTTAAGCTGCTGCAGAAAAGCCTCCCTCAAGGATCACTCTCCCACCACCATGTTTCACAGGGATGATATGTGTTTGGGGTAACTGGAAAACTGAAAATTTCTGTATTATGAGTTTAATGTTAAAATGTTCAAAGCAAAGGAGCCACTGTTTTATGACTTATCCCAGCTTTAAGCATCTAAGCATATCCACTGTTGTATTTAGCCTGAGACTGAACTCTGAACAGTGAAATAACATTTTCTTTGCAATTATAAGGTAAACATTTTTTTTGCCAATATCTATATTTCTGTTACTATACATCTATTCTGTAGATGTTTAAATGATAAAGAGTATTTAACTTTTAAGGTTGTGTTAATGCTAAGTTTTTATTTAAGGGGTCGTAACCTAATATGTCACCAAATTAATGTTTAATCATCTTTAGAGAGAGATTTTTTTTAATTTTCAAAATCTTATGCTACAGTGGCCTTTTTTTATCTAGAGTGATTCCTTAAAAGGAATAACTAATTCAAAAATGTGTTAATGCAACAAACTTACATTTTAATGTTGAAATTGTTGCCTATTTGTTGGGCTTTAAGTGACAACTTTCTGAACAGTTTTTAAAGGGAACAAGTAGAAAAACCTATCATGTTTGTCCCCTCTGTTGCTGTTGTAAATGCTGAGCCTCTTCCTTTTTTTTTTTTTTTTTTTTTACTTGTGCAGGATCATGGAGAATGAAGTATATCCATACAACTTTTATTTATTTGGCCTTCTTTGTATAACAAGATCAGAGAGATTAAAGCATATCACTGGGTGAATCTACACACAGTAATGAGGTTTTGCTCTTTAAATCACTTACTGAAAAATCTTTTCTGTAGTACTTACATTTACTCATATGCACATAAATGTAGAGGCTGCTTTTACTGTCCAAACTACCTTTTATGGTCAGTTTATATCCAGATAAAAGGGGTTAGGACGAGAAGCAAAACTCAACCATTCTTCATCCTTTGGGTGTTCCTGAATCTTCAAGGCTCTAACAGGGCTGTTCAGCAATTAAGATTTCCCAGATCAAAGCAGCCTAAATGAGCTAATCCTCAGAGAAATACTGGTCTATCTTCCTCCATCTTCTTATTTCCCCTTCTATCTCTTCCTCACCCTATTTTCCCCCTCTTGACTTATGGCAGAATGTGATGTTTTTTTAACTTGCCAGAAGTAGGTCCTTTAAACATGAAATGTGCATAAACACAAATTAATGCATTTCACTTCATATTCTTAATCACAATTTGCCTTAGTCGGAGAGCATGTTTTTAGAGTTCTTAATAAGTAATCGGAGATCAAACATCTGGAGGCACTAAATGTGAAGCCCACTGTGGTAAATTACAAGAGACTTCTTATTCCACAGGAAGGTGGTTTATTTTTATAACATGAACAGCATACAGCTTCACACAGACTTTTCTTTTCTACTCTCTACTGCCCGCACTCTTCTTCTACGGTCCATAACAATACCAACAAGTAACAGCGCTTCCTAGTGGGCATGTATGTATTACACTTAAACTCCACAGTTACTACACCCCTCCCCTCTTAAGCATTAACAACCAAAACAACTATTCCACTAACAAGCTTATCTTTCATTTAGCTAACTGGAAATCTTTAAGGTAACTAGGCAACCTTATTTGCCTTTTCGATTGTCTCTTAACTGGAGTTACACTCTTTTCAGTTCCTTGTTCAGTCTCTGGGTTTTTCACAGCTTCCACAGCCGTTGGCTCCTCCAACTTCTCCCCACCGAGAACGACCTCCTCAGCTTCCAGCCATTCTTCATTTTTTTCTTCAGACCCACTAGAATTAACAGGGTCAACCGGTTGGTTGCTGTTGCATTTTTCTGGTTTCGGGTAGTGAGTGTGAATCTGATCCACATGTCTCCTCACTATCCTCCCATCCCCAAGCATCACTTTGTAGGACACCGGTCCAGTCACCGACTCAATGATTCCTGGGATCCACTTTGGGCCTAAACTGAAGTTCTGGGTCAACACTGAGTCTCCTGTTTTGAACCAACGTCCCTTCGCTTTTTTATTGTGATCTTTCATCTGTCTTTCTTGGTTTCCTCTCACTCTTTTGCTCAGATCTGGGTGAATGGAATCTAATGTACAACGTAGTTTCCTCCCAAGAAGTAACTCTGCTGGAGATAAACCAGTTGTAGTGTGAGGAGTAACCCTGTAGCTAAATAACACTCTGGCTACTTTGGTTGTCAGGGTGCCCTCTGGACATTTCTTCATCATTCTCTTGAATGTTTGTACACCTCTCTCTGCTAACCCATTACTCGCTGCATGATAAGGAGCAGAGGTTACATGGCGAATGCCATTTTTGTTCAGGAAGTCCTTGAATTCCATGCTTGTGAAACAAGTGCCATTATCCGATACCAACAACTCAGGCAAACCATGGTTACTAAAACTGGTTCGCAGGCACTCAATTGTAGTGGCTGAAGTAGCGGAGCTTACTGGATACACATCCATCCACTTTGAATAGGCGTCAACCAGCACAAAAAACATTTTCTCCATAAACGGTCCTGCATAATCCACATGTATGCGGCTCCAAGGCCTATCAGGCCAATCCCATGGATGCAATGGAGCGGGTGCAGGAATGTTGCGGTGCTCTTGGCATGTGGGACAGCTCTTTACAGTGTCCTCCACATTTTTGTCCAACCCGGGCCACCATACATAGCTCCTAGCCAATGCCTTCATTCTGGACACTCCTGGGTGGCACTGATGAAGCTGCCTCATAACCTGTTCTTGACCTGGTTTCGGCACAATCACCCTCGAGCCCCACAACACACACTCGTTCTGTATACTGAGTTCATGCTTCCTTACTTCGTAGGGGGCAAACTCCTCCCCTTCCCGCTTTGATGTCCATCCATTTCGCACCATCTCCCGCACCCTCGAGAGCACCGGGTCTCTGTCCGTCCATTCTTTTACTTGATCAGATGTCACCAATGTTATGCCAGCGCTCTCCAGCATGAGTACTGTCTCTTCCCGTCTCTCTACTTCTGCTTTCACGGGCAAAGGAAGGCGGCTTAGGGCATCAGCATTACAGTGATTTTTTCCTTCCTTATACACTATTGTGTATTCATAGGCTCTCAATGTTACTGCCCACCTTTGGATTCTAGGGGAGGCCATCTGTGGTACGGCTCGCATCTCACTGAACAGAGACAACAAAGGTTTGTGATCTGTTACTATAGTGAATTTACGTCCATAAATATACTTATGGAACCGTTTTATTCCGAACATCACAGCTAGTCCCTCCTTATCCAGTTGTGAATAGTTTTTTTCCGCTGCGTTCAATGTTCGTGAGGTGAATCCTATGGGCCTCTCAGTTCCATCTGGCATGTGATGTGACAGCACCGCACCTACTCCATAAGGTGAGGCATCACATGACAGCACAATGTCTTTCTCTGGGTCGTAAAGCACTAGTACTTGTGCAGACTGCATCATTTCCTTTGATTTTTCAAAAGCAACTTGCTGTGCTTCTCCCCACTGCCACCTCTTGTCTTTTTGAAGCAGTTTATGCACTGGAGCAAGAATTGTTGACAGATTGGGCAGGAACTTGTTGTAGTAGTTTAACAGTCCTAAATATGCCTTCAACTCTGTCACATTCGAAGGTGTAGGTGCCTCTTGGATTGCTTGCACCTTCTCATGAACTGGGTGCAATCCGGTTGCATCCACTTTATGACCCAGGAACATCACCTCCTCATTCATAAACAAACATTTTTCTCTTTTGAGACGTAGACCAGCCTCCTCCAGCCGTTCCAGCACCATGGCCAGCGTCCGCAGGTGATCTTGGTCATCTTTCCCTGTGAGCAGGATGTCATCCAGGAAAATTGCCACCTGGGGAATGCCCTGCAGCAATCCCTCCATTATCCGTTGGAATATCGCTGGGCTGGATGATACCCCAAAAGGTAGTACTTTGTATGTGAACAATCCCTTGTGCGTGTTTATGGTCACATACCTCTTTGCTTCCTCATCCAGTGGAATCTGGTGATAGGCGTGACTCAGATCCAACTTTGTGAACTTTTGTCCACCCGCCAGCGTAGCGAACAGGTCCTCAATTCTGGGAATTGGGTACTGCTCCAACTTGGATATTTGATTTACTGTCAGTTTGTAGTCTCCGCACAGTCTTACTGTCTCATCTGGTTTTAACACAGGAACAACAGGCGCCGCCCACTCTGCATGTTTTACTGGTTCAATGATCTCTTGGGCAAGGAGACGATCCAGTTCCGCCTCCACTCTTCCTCTCATGGCATAAGGAACAGGCCCAGCTTTAAAAAATCTGGGGACTGCTTCCTTGTCTATGTATATTTTTGCTGGGGGGCCTTTAAATTTCCCTAGTTCTTTATTAAACACCTCCCCGTATTTTCCCAAAACCTCCTCTAAAGTTTCCTTTCTAACATGGTGGATTTTGGTTTCTGGACTCCCCTGTACCTCTACTAGGTTTCCCTCCAGGATGTGGTGGACTTGGGGGGTTGATCTCCACTGTAGGCCTAACTTTTGAATCCAATAACGACCAATCAGACTGGGGCCTGACCCTGCTACGACTACTACCGGTAAGTCATGCACTCGTCCCTTATGATGCACCTTAACTAGTGCTGCTCCCACAACTTTTACTCTATGACCAGTGTAGGTTTTGAGTTGCACTTTACATGGGTGTAGCTTTGGTGCCTCTTTCCCCCTCAAGGTATTGAATACGGAGTGGTTCATTACTGTTACTCCGCATCCTGAGTCCACTTCGAACTGAGCGTCCGTCTCATTAACTGTTAGTGTCTCTATGAATGGAGCTACCGCTGGTACGTCAAGTTCATCTATTTTGTACAATGTGAACATGACTTCCTCTGCATCCATGCTCTCTTTGTCGTCCTCCCTCTGGCTGACATAATGGGCTCCCTGCGTTCTCCCTTGTCTACTTGTCTGCCCACCACCCCCTCTAGTCTTCGACTGACCAGCTGGGCCTTTGGACCTACATACTTTCTTAATGTGGCCAATTTTTCCACATTTGTGACAGGTTTCTTTAATAAACCTACATTCACCCGCTGTATGGTGCTCACCACCACATCTGTAGCAACCTTTATGCTGGAGCTGCTGCCGACTTGGGGTCTGTTTTGATGAAATTTTATGCACCACTTGCGGCGTCCTCCCATGTGATGCTGAAAAATCCAAAGATTGTAAGTCTTTTACATCTTTGCTGGCTGTTTCAATCGCCTGAGCTAACTTCAACGCCTTGTCAAAGCTCAAATCTGGTTCGGACAACAGTCGGCGCTGAATGCGGTCATCTCCGATGCCACAGACCAGTCTGTCCCGTATCATCTCCGACAACTTATCTCCATAATTGCAGTCTTGCGCCAATTTCCTCAGGACAGCAACATATTCCATGACTGTTTCACCATTTTTCCTGTTTCTGGAATTAAACTTGAAACGTTGCACAATCTCACTGGGTTTTGGGTTGAAATGGTCCTTTAATAACTTGACCAGCTCATCGAACGTCTTGTCTCCTGGCTTGGCGGGGCTTACCAGATTTCTCATTAGGCTGTACGTCTGACTGCCCACTGCACTGAGCAAAATAGCTTTCTGCCGACCTGCATCATCGATCTCATTAGCTTCAAAACAATGGTGGAGCACCTCACAATATTCCTCCCACGTCTGGGTTTGGGAATCAAAAGGAGCGGTACTTCCTACCATGCCCGCCGCCATGGTCCTCTGTTGATTTCCACGTCCGTTCTTCTTTTTTTTTTTTAAACTTTGCAATTTAGCCGAGAGGCTTGCTCATTTGTCTGCCGAGGAATCCGCTGTGCCTTTATCCTCGGCTTGACTTTATCCTCGTCGCCATTTATGTGGTAAATTACAAGAGACTTCTTATTCCACAGGAAGGTGGTTTATTTTTATAACATGAACAGCATACAGCTTCACACGGACTTTTCTTTTCTACTCTCTACTGCCCGCACTCTTCTTCTACGGTCCATAACAATACCAACAAGTAACAGCGCTTCCTAGTGGGCATGTATGTATTACACTTAAACTCCACAGTTACTACACCCACATATGGAGAAGCTCGGGGAAATTGCACAAACCATTGGGGGTCGTTTCAGCAGTGAGGCATTTAGGAAACTGTTTGGTGTTGATATGACTTGGCCTGTATTAAAGCAAATGATGAATTAAGCTTCTTTTAAATGAGCTAAGTTGGACTTGCAGTGGTGTCAGAGCAAGCCACAGCTTTAAGGTCAGTACTCATTCAAAGGCAGTCACACTGCTGCCTACTTACCATGTCTGACATTATCATAGAAAAGCAGAGCATCTGCCTGCGGCTCTTGGGGACAGCTCTAACAAGGTGGTGTTGCTTGTCCTCTTTGGCAGGAGGCTCTCTTCTGCGAAACCACCTGCTTGGGTTCTCTTTCCAAATAATACCATTCTCCACCTTTGCCAAACAGGAATGTTATTGTTTGTCGCTGCCACTTTATTTAAAAAACATTTTCTTCATTGCAGCCTTTCGTTGTAAAGATTCTGTTCTGGCTCTGTGGATGTCCTGCAGGATTTTGTGCCAATCACCAGTACCTGATGAAAAACAAATGCACCATCCTCATAACACAATGATTATAATTCTTCTCTAATGAAGTTAAGAAACATATTACATTTCTAATAGATTTTTGTGAGCTAATGGTTGCAAACATATTATCAAACAATACATTCTTCTACAATCAAACAGTATCTAAGGAGCCAATTCATGTTGTCCACAAAAGGTATTGACCAAAATGGTGTGTTTTGGCGATTTTACGCTTTTGATAAAGAAAAGGAGTATTTAAAAAAAATAAAGTAAAGAGAATTCCTCTTATTTCATTTAGAGCTTAAACCAAATGTTTAAGTATGCTGAGTACAAAGACACATTTGACATTAAACCTGACCAGACCTTTACGGTTTTTTATAAGTTAGGACTGCCAGAAGGATTTGTATTTCAGTCAAATCCAGACCATTAGATAATATTCATGTCATTATTATTTGGCAGAATGTGCTCACGCATAAATCTTTAGTTTTGTCCATATAGTATCCTTGTCATCCCTACTGTATGCCTACACATTGACTTTGTTATCGTTAAATTACTTTATAACAATGTTGGTAGTATAATAAGGGTCACTAACCCTTTGGGAGAGCCAATTTTCCCCAGTTTTATACTAAGTCCGATTATGTATTGGGATCCTGTTCCAATTTTTCTCAGTAACGATCTTTCTGGAGGATATCACCTGTTTTGTGTACCAGTCCTTTTTTGCAGCTTTTTTATTGTCATTACACTCTCAAGAAATTAACTCTCTGCTTTTAACCCATCCCCTTGGAGAGCATTGGGCTGCCATTGTGCAGTGCCCAGGGAGCAGTGTGGGGGGTTAAGGGTCTTGCTCAGGGATCCAGAGTGTCAGTACATGGGAGTGGGGCTTGAACTCAGAACCTCTGGATTCCAAGCGCAGTGCCCAGAACACTAGGCCACCAAAGGCAATGGGTTGGGAATCGAACCTCTGGCAACCTGCATTCGGGACTGTTGTTTTGGCTAATAATGCTGGGTGTATGCAGCATACACCCATATGAAATAATGTTGCCACACCAATACTTCACTGTTGGGATAGTGCTGTTAGGATGGAATGTTTTCCGACTCTTTCTTTTTCAAATGTAACAATGGTCAATATCACCAAGCACTTCAATGTTAGTTAAATTGGATTAAAAGGTTCCTTTCAAGATCTATGGTCTCTCTTTCTGTTTCAGTTTATGCATTTTAACCAGCAATTTCATGTTAGTTTTGGAATAATGGCTTCCTTGTTGCTCAGTGTCTTCTCCGCCAATATTATTACAGGATTTATTTCCCCTTGGATACGATAAACAACCATCATCAACACAGTTCTCGTAGCTGTTATTATTGTAATCACTAGACATTTATGGACAACAGAGCTAGCAAGCTTAGATAAGATTTTTACATATGAAACAGTAACCATGGTGTAGTTGTAACATTTCTAAAGGATCTCAGACAAAACAAAGATTAGAAGACCAGATTGGCAAAGACGTCTTCCGCGGTGTTCAGCTGCTCCCTTTAATTTTTACAGCTGCAAAGACTTTCCAGAATCCCACCATGCAAAAATGTAATTCATCTTTCACATTTACAGCATTTGTATAATTATGACAGACCATGGCAAAATGAAGCACAAGTCTACCCTGGACATTTTCAATTATTTACAGATCTTGAATAAGTGGATCTGTAAATTTTCACTAGCCTTCTAATGATGTCAAACTTGTAAAAATTAAAATAAATAATCAAAGATATGACAATTTGAACAAAGGGACTCTGTAAAGAAAATTAAGAGAAAATTGGCTCAAAAAATATTTGACAGATTGAAACAGGCGACATTATTTCAATATGAGGGAAAACAGGATGAAAGATAAAAATGAGGCAGTAACACAAAGCACAGAAAAGATGCAGTATTATCACACAATACGTAGTGTAACCTGCACCAGAATATGTTTGTAAATTTCAGCAAACTCTAAGGCTGAAGTTATCTTGTGCAATTGCACCACATGAAATGCAGACATATAGGAGCAAAATATTTATGAGTTTTGATCCCAATATAATGCTTAAGCCTAAATACAGCTAAAGCTGCTGTTGAATGTTTTTATTGGAGCTCTGTTATGATTCTCCTGTCTCATTTTATTTGCCACTAGTCCTTCATAAACTTATCCTTTCCAAAACAAAGTTTGAAGAATTATATTCATGTTAACCATTTTGGATGTTCAATTTAATAGTGAAACAATAACTTATAAGATCAACTGTTTTTACGTAACAAATTTGGAAAAAGCATGAAGAAAAATAAGAAAAAAACATGAAGAAAAATAGCCAATGTTGCAGCCCACATGTTTCTTCAGTCTTGCTTCTAATTGATAGGACAAATGGAATTCACAGACTAGTTAAAAGCTATTTGATACGAAAAGACCAAAGAGGGGTTTAGTTTTAAAAGTCAAACTTACCCCATGGAAAACTGAAAGGTAATAACTTCAATTTCAATTATGTTGTTTTTTCTTTGTTGATGTCCTCCTGGTTGATGTTTTATGGCTAAAGTTTTGACTGTTACTGTTTGCTACAAGAAGTCAGGTCACTTTCATTTCCTGCCACTCCCTTTATACTGTTAGACAATTCCTCTGTATGTTGTACATCTGCTTTGGAGACAATTTGTGGCCACAGGACTGTGTATCATTTAAAGTCAAAGTTACGGGGCTTG